GACGTCGCATCCCTGTATACCTCTACAATAAATAAACTATTGTCCCTAATTTTCTCGTTTATGGAAGTCTCTTAAATGTCAAGGGTTCAACTGAATCATTTCAACAAAATATTAAAAGTTAGGATTTTAAAAGCAAACATTCTAGATATAAAATGATTAGAAATAACAAATATTTAAAATACGAATAGTTTTCAAAAGGAAAAAAAAATAGAAAGAACGTAATTTTACAAATTTGTTAGATTTAGTTGCCCCTTCGGCGGCTGCGAGATTGAGCATATCTGTCTTCTCAAATACGCTCGGTATCTATCAATCGTAAATTTGCAATGCGAGCCGCGTTCGTTTGCGTCTACTGCGGTGCGAACTGAGCTCGTTGATAAGGTTGAGAAACAAAGTTTCCCTCTTTATTTCTAATCTTTCGATCGGCACATTTTACGTAAACATTCTATTCTTAACAATAAAATATTTAACAACGTAACTTCTTTGCTTAACAATAAAATATTAACAATTCTGGGTTTCCTCCTCAATTATAAGAATACATGATCCCTTAAGAACCAGCAAGATCTGGTCTTCATTGTTAAAACTCTGAATAGGGTTCCGGGTTCAGTGCTCTGGTAGTAGTAAACCAGCTGCTAAATATTTATGTAGGTGAAACATTAAGCATAATCAAGAAAATATTGCTATCTCTAAAACTGCAATAAAGTTTAGAGCGTGTCTTTAAAGTGAAAACAAGCAGCATATCAAAGCTGCTTTTTATTAGATTATCTCAGAAACAGCTATAAAACAAAATCATTTTCCTTATCTTCACTCATGAAATTAAAAAATTCTTGCATTTAAAAGAAATACGTTTTATGGGTTGAAAAGATGGAAAAAATAAATTGGTTTTCTATGCAAAACGATAAAACCAATTTTTAGAGTAAAATTTTATGAATAAATTTCGCAAGCACAGTTTTCACTTGCCTGAAATGTTGCTAAAATGGAAATAAAAGTGAGATTTTCATTTGAAAGAAGCAAATACATTAACAAAATTCATAGTTTTAAATGTTTTCTAAAAGGATTTTTTAAGATAAAAATTTTCGAGAATAAACAGAATACTCATGCAGAAGTATAACTTATGTATGCAAATAATAAATTAACCAAACTCTTTTTCTTTGGCTTAAGTGCTCAGCTTAAAATTATTTTCAGACTATTATCATTTTTGACGCAGTAGACTATTAACTTTCAGTAAGAAACGTAATGCAGTATCAAACTTCAGCAATAGCCATTTTACATCTGTATTTGTTGGCCCTGCTGGCATAGTGTTATGCAAGCCAACTGCAACAGTCTTGTCGAATCAACAGTCGAAATCCTGGGAAAGTACTGGTGTTTGTAATAGTATAGAGTCTTTGGGGCATGGAGGTATTTAAAATACCTAGAGCCGGAAGTCCTTTCGAGACTCGTGGATTCATTCCTCTGGGGACTTTCCTTCAAAACTGCGACGGAGCTTGGAAATTTCACATTGCTACCAATAAAGTGCTCAAGGCCTAAGGCAACGACAGGCACAGCCTTCGCTTCTTGGCCACAGTAAAATTCATAGATTTGATCAATGTGTTACATTCAGACAAGTCAGGATCTCTCGAATATGCGCCGAGTGGGCTAGCGTTGGGAGAAAATACCTTACTAAGTTTCCCTTTTAAATAGCGAATGGGGATTACGGGACCCAATCGCCAAATCCTGGTGGTGACGAATTATCAGCCACTACTTTTTAGTTCGAGGGCCAACTTTATTGTCATTAGGTTATTTTAAAGCAGGAAACGTGAAAAACGTGCAGTGCCCTCACCGGGACTCGAACTTGGACTTCTCGAATACGCGGCGAGTGTGCTACCGTTATACCACGAAGGAATGCTGGAAGGACGGAGAAAATACCTGAAGTGAGATGAGTCATAATAACAACATCATCTGACTTTGAAGTACCAAAGGCAGTAAAGTATTGTTACGTGCGTACGAGTTCGGGATGGATTGAATGCACGCAAAATCGATGAAAGAAAGACAAAATTTGTCTTCCAAAAAATAAAACGCTTCACAGTTCTGGAACTTTTCACACAAAAATACTCGTACAGCTTTTCTCAGTATGACAGAATACAATCAATGGTTATCATTTCAAACTATTAAGAACGTCGATGCAAAACAAATCAAAAGGCGAAAGCTTGCACGGTGATCCCCAACATTCTGAGCTAAATTGAAAACTGATGCTCTCTTGGATCTTATATGGCTTTCTCCGTCCACGGAGAAATTTCCAGTACCTTCGATTTCTCGAAACTGCTGAAAGTTACAGTTACAGTTACTCAGGGACCGGGTCAATTAGAGTTACATAAGGATTTTACTAAAATGTCTCCAATCTTGGCTACTTTTGCGATTTCTGGCCAAATCTGGCTACAAACATTAGTCACCAAAACCACAGCCAACTTGGCACTGTCTCACCAGTTTGGCAATATACCCATTTACCTCAATGTTAGACTTACCCCCTGTACCCCTATTTTTCCGGCGATGCTCCGCATTCTGATGCTTTTCATGTTATATTATACAAGTGATACTACAATTTACATATAATTTCACTAAAATGATTTACATATATACAAAATTCAAAACAATATTTTCATTACAAGTATAATACTTTTGGCTGATATGCCGAATAACTTATTCAATAAATGGCGAGCGATTCGTCATCCTTCATTACATTATTAAGTTGTAGACTAACATGACCATTTCTGTTGTAAAAGACTACTTTTAGAGTATTATTGCCCTTTATACATGAGTTTCTAAGACTGTTATACTATTTCATATTACAGTAAAACCTGCTTCTTCAACAACTACTTCCAATTTTATCTTTAGATTTGGCATTTAAAGCTAGGGCATCTTCATCCGTCTTAAGTCCAGACGGCTTACTGTATACATTTGATACGATTATTGCATATTTACCTGTCCTTGGAGTGTATGTGGTGATTTCTTATACTAATTTTGAACTTCCAATATTTCCAGATGTTCTTAAACACATCTGAGGAGCATAACTTAATTTAGCAACAGAAGTAAACTTCTAAATTTTTGCCCTAGTTTTTTTATTACTCTTTCATGAAAGCTATTGTCGAGCATCATCCATGTATCGCTATTAAAAATACATAGCGTTTAAAAGAAACTCATGCGTCTAGCAATTATGATATTTTAAAAAAAAATCTTTTTTTCTGTGATATATCCTACATGAGGTGGGGTCTGCATATATTTAACATGACCGGGATGTGGGCATTTTCATGTAGCATACGTACGAATAGGACATGCACTTTATTATAACACAAATAAAATAAACAGATATAATTTACATAAAGTTAGTAACATAATATTCCGCTGGCGTACAGCGTGTAACGTATAATATCGTGACATTTCTGTTCTTGGTCTATACTTTCGACTCTGTGTCACATGCTAGAAATGTGAAAACGCGCGCCTTTCAGCTAACGTGTTCAAGAGTGGTGTTCGTCAAATCATTGACAGGTATCTTGCCCCACACTGGGCCTTCAAACACATCGATGTGTTGACCTTCACAAAATGAAGTATGGGGTTGCCACCGCTAACGGAAGAGAAATACAGGCAGTCTGAAAACTTCCCAATCAGCCTTTTATTTTGTATTGAAATATCTTAGAGGTTTCACAATCTCTATGGCTTTGTTCACTGTCCAAAGATGCCATATATATATATATATAAATAGTCTCATCTGTGCAGTTAGTTTTAGCCCAAAGTCAGTTGAATCAACAAACTAAATTTGACATAAATTTGAAAAGAAGAGATATATGGTATTGTAGATTAATGCTCGAATGATAGCGATGGTGAAGTATTGACGAAAAGGAAAGAGAAGATAATTTGAGACAATTTGATAATCTGGACATAGAAGGTAATTTGAGTCTAAAGACAACATGGCAGACTGCTGTTTCGCAAATATACATTCCAGATTACCTAAAAATAAACTGGTGTAAAATATTTGTATGAACCCAGAAAATTCTCAGCATTTATGAGTCTTTAAATCTGAGTATGTATAAGCGGCGAGAAAGTAGTCATTTTGTTGTAGATTAAAGATTTGCCTCACCTACAGAGTTTAAGTGTGCAACCACCATATCTTTAAACACTTGGCAAAAGATATAGTAAATTTATCCAGAAGATAGCCTTTTTGAAGTAAATTGCTCTGACTGGGAAAGAACTAGCACAGTTACTTAATCAAAGCCTTTCAGCTCAGTACAGCCTGTAAAACCTTTGTTCCGTGTTTCTAGTATGATTATCAATATAATATACTTCTTGAAGTAGTTCAAACTACCTGACGCAACTTTCCTGCTAAGTATATCAGGACTTGTGATCCTCTTTACTTGCTTTGGAAACATGAACTGTCCTGACTCGGAACAGGGAGCTTACTCAAGCTATGTTCAATAAATTGTGAATAGACAATACACACAGGAAGGGTATACGAAACCCCTTTATTTTTCTATCTTTACAGAGGTTTCCGGAACTCGGATACAGAGACCAACCACTTTGTCTGAACGTAAGAATATAAAACTGCTAACTAAATTCTAACTAAAACTACTTTGGATTAATATACAAGTGCCTAACTTCAGATTGGCCGTTATTTAACAAAAGCCTTATGTAGTACAGAGAGCTGCTAACACTACGATACGTTTAAAATTATCAAGAGGATTAAATCTATGGCCTTGAAGGCAACCAGCAACCGAGTAAAACCACTATGGCAAGCGGCCTGCTTCTAATAACTCCTTCCTCTCTCTTGCTTGGCAAAATGCCACAACTTAAGTACTTGGCGTTAGCAAGACAAATTTGCATAAATAAGTTAAAGCTTTTAATTCTGGCCGGAAGTAGAAAATAAGAAGTGATAGTAAAGTTTTAAAATAAAATAAACGTTAGTAAAACTTAGGATCCTTACAAGTATTACTAACAGTATTCAGTTAATACAAAGTAGCAATTTTTTTTTTCAGATGAGATTAGAAAATATTTCATCTGAAGACATTGTCGATGGGAAACCACATCTCATTCTTGGTCTTCTGTGGACAATTATTTTACGATGTGAAATATGGCAACATCAACAGCAAGTTGAAGTAAGTATTAGAACACTTCGGAAGACTTTGAATGGTCCAGAATAAAATTAGTAATGTACTCTGGAAATAATGAATTAATAAAATATAATACTTTATGTGTTCATAAAATATAATAAATGTTTAACCTTAAGAAGGCTATAGACATGAAAGAGTGATAACAAATTTACAGTTCACGTAGCTAGAGCATAAAGTAATCATGTGAATAAGTTTCATTTCTTTTGCCTTGACAGTTTCGTAATCTTTTTACCAGATAGGCCCACAGCTGGCTACAGTGCGTTTTCGTGATTTTCCCCATATGTAACGTATATGCGAGCCAATTTCCCTCAGAAAGTCCTCCCCGAAAGCACCTCTCCCTTTAGACAGACATCCCTCTAGTGTTTTGTCACAGTAAAATAAACCAGACGTCTTACCAGGTCATTCAATGTGCACAAAAGGAACAGACGTAACTTACTCAAATTTTAATTTGGAACATTGAGGGATCAGCAAGAGTTTTATATGATATTTATAAATCGATTACATAGCTTAGCTAACATGTGCAGTCGAAATATAGATACATATGTAAGATAAAAATATGTAAGTGAAAACTATAATTTTAATTTGCAATTTCAAACTCTCCATTCTAATTTGCTTATTTCTCTTTTTCGTACTAAAATAGCAACAGCTTATAATAAATCTATCCAAACTGCGTCATTTAAAACTTAACCTGTATTATATGAGCTTTGTATAACGCTTATGACGCAGATGCTTTCACAACGCTTCGGACAAGTATGGTTTTAAATTTGGGAACGAAAACTTTATTAGTCACTGTGAATAAATCGGAACTGAAATTAAATTAATCTGAACTGGGATTTCATTTTGAATGTGCCATATTTGCAACGTACTTACCAATCCAGATTATTTCGCTGCTTTCCTTCTTACCACACCATCTTAAAAAATGTAAAAGTTCTTCAAAAACAGGGGTGCTTACTGCCCGAATTTATCAATGACGCATTAAGAATGTTCATCTACTAGAAACCTAAAGTTTTGCCAAGAAGTATTATTTTACTGAATATGTTTGCAAATATCTCATTCTTCTCTTAAAAATTTGCATATTGACTATTTTACGCAATTATTTTCAGATGAGGTTAGAAAATAGCTCATTAGAAAAAATCAAGTAAAGGAAATGATTAAAGTTTATTTGTAAGAAAGAAATGATTAAAGTTTATTTGAATCTAACGCGGATGAGCTATGGGAATCTAAAGCTGATGAGCAGGATTTAATATATCTGCTTGCATTGTTTCTGATCCATACTGAAGCAATAAAAAAGTGACTTAGATACGTGAATATCGCGTGCAAAAAGACCACTATTTAAAGCCAGTATAATTGAACTGATAAAGATTATTTAAAACAAACTTTTTAATATGATTGTTAAATGTTGGAAGTAAAGTGAGGCATTAAATTATGGAAAGGCACACAAAGGCAAACTGCCTTAGGCAGGTTATTGTTTTGAATTAAATATCTCTGTATGGGCAACTGCCTTGCATTAAAGTTACACAAACTAACAAAATGCAAATGCAGGGAGTGCGTAGCTCATGGAATGGTTGATTGGTTTATGCGAAGGCCTCGGGGTCTATCTGCATAAGGGGACGGATGCTTTCGGGAAGGACTTTCGGTACTATTCGGTTTCGAGGGCCGTAAAAAATCGCCAAACTATTGTTGATGCCAATGCTGCCAAAAATAATTGCGGCAAGAAAGGAAGTATAATAGTAAATAACTATTTAAGATTGATGTTTTAATTTAGATGAAAGGTTAATTTCATATAATACATTTTTATTATTATAATTTATATGAAAAAGGCTAAACATGACTGAATGGAAGCATAAGAGTAAATAACTATTTCAGATCATTATAATTTATATAAAAATTGCTAAACATAACTGAATGGATGCCTGCATCGCTATTTTCGCTACCGACTTATCGCTAAAGCATAATTTCATCTCGTTGGTTGTTCAAACGTAATTTTCTATAATGAATGATGCCTTTTCTTTGAAAATATTCTCGGTAAAGTGCAGAATCGCTCACTTATTTGTTCCCCTTTTTACAAGGGTAAAAACAGTTGGATTTTTGTCAATTTTCTTTTACTTTTTAAGAGAAAATAGGTCGATGTGTACATAGATAAAGTCAAGCGTGTGCGCAGTGCCATTTTTGTGCAATTCTAGGATTTTTTTTAAGTGAAAATAGGTCGATGTGCACATGGATACCGAGTATGTGCAATTCTAAAAACGCGTCAAGCAGTGGGTGATTCTGCACTTTACTCAAAATTCTATTGCCGAGTTTTCGTCATGGGCGATTCCCAAATTGTTAAATCCATAGGATATCAAAAAAAGGATTTAAAAATTAAACTAGTCTTTCAATGGCGTCTTAAGAAATGAACTATATAAACTTACGCAATCTGAAATCTGCGCCTACGCTAGATTTGGCGCGCTGTTAAATGGGCGCGTTTGCTAGATTTGGCGCTTTTGCGCGTACATTTTCGCTGCAATTTTTTTACGGCCCTCGAAACCGAACAGTACCGGACTTTCTAAGGGAAACTGGCTCTTAAACACGTTATTACATGGAGAAAACCACGAAAACGCCCATGCAGCCAGCCCGTACATGGGATTCTGACCTCGGACTAAACTACCAATGTTCAGCTACTTCGACCGCTGGTGGGACGCTCATGCAATGAGGTCTTTGCTGAGTTTACTTGAGTTCAATGATCACTTGTCATTGGTGGGATCTGAATTCTCAGAGAGGTAACTCATAAGACTTCCGTTTTAGATATAGGAGGTTTACTTTAATTTTCATTAACTATTTAACCTAAATCAAAACTTTTTTCTATTCAAATTTGAAAATTAAAATGCATTTTTAAACTATTAAAGTAGGACTCTTGTGTATCTGAAAGATGGAGCTCTCTTGTTATTACGAGTACTATAGCCCTTACTATCATTTTCCCAATTTTTTCTGCTTTTACAGCGCGTCTGCCGTTGCATTTCTTAAGACATTAGTGTTTGAAGCTCTGTCGCCACTCAGAAAGTGACCTATGAATTAGTTCGATATTAAAGAATTATAGAGTACAGTTAAAGCTATGAGTTCAGGAACAATTTACGTCATCTTTTTCTGGAGGGGTAGAACTTAATTGCACACATATTCCTTATCACGATATTGCAAGCAGCTGTTGCATCTGCATTTTTAGTTAAATAAATTTATATTAGGATAAAAAGTTTGGTTTTTCTGTCTGTAAGCAGCGAAAACTCGCTATTTGCATGAAAACAATTAGAGCAGGATACATGAAAATTAGAAAGAATTAGGCGAATGAAATTTAGGCTTCCGTTTGTCCTATCCATTAAAATTCTATGATAATCTTAAATAGCGTGTATCAGTGTTTCCAGGTAAATTACACGAAAGAAAGAATATTCTCGAAGCGTTAATGAGACTATTTCCGTCAATTTAGAGCTAAGAAATTAAGTGATTTCTTCTTAATTATACTTAATGAGTGACGAAGCGCATTTATTTTATTTTAAGGATGCAAATAATGACAGAACATTCATACCTCCACCTATGAGCCAAACGCAGTACCCAGTACAGAAAATAGCCAAAGACTCGCTGTTGCTTTGGTGTCAAACTAAAACTGATGGGTAAGTATTCCACCCTAACTTTAATAATTATTTTTATTTAAATGCGCATTGTTAGCAAAGAAGTAATTCAGGTTAGTACAATTGTTAAGATTTGTTACTTACAATTTATACGTATGTTATTTAAGGGCATTATGAATGACAATTTTATTTAAAAATGTAAAAGCTAAGCTTATTTGCTACTAATGTTTAAGCAGCAAACAAGCTGTGAATTCAAGGTACATTAAAGAAATTTAAACTACGGTTGCAGAGCATACTAAATTTATTGTGCATAAACGAAATTCAGTAATACGAATTTCGTGAACAGAGTAAAATGAATTTTGTAGGCTTGATACCGAATAATAAAAACAAGCGTTAAAAGTTTCAACACAGAAAATCTTACGAAGTTCGACTAACAAGGAATATGCTCTCATCAAGCAAGAATACGTCAGTGCATGCAGTCATTTAGAATATTTAACCCTAAGTTCGCTGAGATCACCAGTCTAAGCTCATAATTTTGATATGTAGTCTTCGAATAAAATAACAGATTATCAATAAGTTCGCAGTTTTATGTTCTATTTCTTATTGCCGTAATGTCAGGGTGTTCAAAATGATCCGGATCTTTCAGGTGATAAATATTTTCAAATTCGGAATGACTTTTCAATTCTTCTACAATCGTTTCGCGTGAGTTTAGTATTTTCGCTGTAAGCATAGTATACTTTATCGTATTCTCTTCTTCATCCAACTTTATTCTTAAAAGCGTATCGGCCACCGTGCTTTCTTTTCCCGTAGTATATTTGATAATTGAGTTAAATTCTTGAAGTTTAAGGGTCCATCGAATAAGTCTCGGCGATAAGTCCTTTCCTGAGTATAAACGTCCTAGGGCCGCATGATTTGAATAAACTGTAATCGGCGGCTTTCCAAAATAAACTCTCAATTTTTGTACTGCGAATGTTAGTAGGACTGCAGTTTCAATTGTAATAATGGTTTGGCTATTTGAGCGAAATCTTTAATGAAAGTTCTATAACACGATCACATGCCTAAGAATATTGATAGTTTCTTTGCAGTATTTGGCCGAGGGTAGTTTTTAATCGTTATTATTTTGGAATTTTCACTTTCGATTCCTAAGTAACGAACGATTTCACATCCTAAGTAACGAAATTTTGGAGCAGCGAACATCTATTTGGCGGCATTTATTTTTAGTTCAGCTTCATTTAGAAGCAAAAATACTTGACGTAAATCTTTAGTATGCTCATCGCTTGTTTCGCTCTTGACTATTATATCATCTAAATAGCAGATAAATGTATTCTTGATGTCTAATAGATAAACATATTCTTGATGTCTAATAGATAAATATATTCTTGATGTCTAATAGATAAATATATTGTTAATGTCTAATGCATAAATGTATTCTTGATATCTGATAGTCAATGCATTCTGTCTAAATAGATAAATGATTCTGGTCCTAAAATTGTATCCATTGCACGCTGGAAATTTCTTCGTCATCTGGAATAATTTCTTCGTCCGGAATCTTGCCATACAACAAATAAATATTTGAACTTTTTTAGAATAAAGTCTGTAAAGTTCTCGATTTTAAACTGAAATTTACTAAATATCTCCGACCCGAGCTTGGGCCTATCCTTGACCATTGGGAACAATTTAATGAACGCGTTTTAAAAATTTTCAAAGGTGTAGCTTCCCACGCTCAATCAACACAAATTTTCCAAAGCACTTGTACTACATGGAAGTCCGGCCTCTAAGTGCGGACTTTACAGTCGTAATTATTTGTGTCTCTGGCACTGCATGCCGTAGAAAATGGGAATTTAGTTGCCCAATAAAATTTATAATTGAAGTCTTTCCAATAAGAGGTGTCTGCAGGCCTTATAGCAGCTATTAGGGTGCCGATGATAAATCCAAATTGCTCCATGGGGGGGGGATTGGGGACGACGAGACTTGCGACGTTGAGAGGATCAAAGCAATCGGTGAAGATTCCTGTGACATAGTTATCTATATTGTTCGGGCGCCAGTAAAATGTCTTGGATGTTTGGCTATCACAAATTGAGCGTTAGAAGACTATTAAGTGTCTTCTAACAGATCAACGCCACAGAAATCTAATCGCTAGAAAATCAAAGTTAGCAACGTGAGCTGGTAGAGTAGGCTTTAAGGTACCTCTTGTATTATGGCGAAGTTGTTGTTTGATTTATCGCCAAGTTGTTGTTTCATTTATGGTAGCCTGAGTAGTTGAATGTTATGGAAACCCTATTGTACGTAATCGGGTGCATGATTCTGGGAAATTTTGAATCATGGGATGTTTTGTAAGCATTTTTGTGGTGTGTGTTGGTTTCATTCTTTAGACGGTACAATGGCCGAATGTAGTAAGATTAATTTGAATTTTCTGTACGATTTGGAGCGAAAGGGGAAAAGAGCTTTAATTGACTGGTGTGTAAATGAAGGTTTACTTAGTAGCCATTATAAGTGTCCTGTATGTGGGAAGGATATGCGTCTAGTCCGAACGTAAAAACCGTTTAGATGGATTTGAATGGGTTTGTAGGAGGAAAGGTTCAGATGGTCATTGTGTGAAGCGTTCGATCAGAAAGAGTACCTGGTTTGAAAAAAGTCATTTGAGTATGATTGATATTTTGATTTTTACGTGGCTCTGGGTGTACGAAGCGAACTCGAAAATCATGGTAAGTGAAATATTTGCTTTTGGTAGTGCTTAAATGTATAACATGTTTTTCCTTTTTTATGTTATTTTATTGTTTGGTTTAAAATGTATTTTATTGAGATTATGTATTTTTGTTTGCCTTTATTGTAGAATTTGGTGCTGCTTTAACTTTTTTAAGTGAAAATATATCGATGTGTACATGGACAAAGTCAAGGGAGTGCGCAATGCAAGTTTGTGCAATACTGGGATTTTTTTTTAAGTGAAAATAGGTCGACGTGTAGATGGATAAAGTCAAAGGAGTGCGCATTGCCATTTTTGTGCAATTCGGAGATATTTTTTTTAGGTGAAAATAAGTCGATGTGTACATGGATACCGAGTTTGTGCAATTGTTTGTCTTGTTATTTTGGCTTTGTCTAGCGGCGATTTTCGGCGCAAAAATCGTCGCTTCGCAAGCCAAAATAACAAGTCAAAGAATTGCACAAAATCGGTATCCATGTACCGCCAAAAATCGCCAAGTTTCACCAAGGGGTACCCTAAACTTTTACCACGTGAGCTTCAGGCAGGCGTAACACGCTCTGATTTCCTCTTCCAAAGCCTTCCCTTAAATATTACTTTCATTCAACTTTATTTGAATACACGCACGCTAGTCGATTTGCATTCTGGCAAGAAAGTGCGAGTTGAAAGCAAGAGTGATAGAAAAGCTACTTGAGCATAAAATAAATGTTAATTAAATAATTCCCATAGTTTGAACTAATAATGCAAAACTGAGTTTTAAGCAAATTAATTTGCTTTGTTTGAACACTTGTATGTGTGATAGATAGGATTTCACTTACTATTTGAGTCGAAATTTAGTTAAAGGCAAAAAAAAAAAAAAAAAAAAAAAGGGGGGGGGGAGGCGTAGCGGTAAAAGTAACGAAGACCTTTCAAGGCTAACGATTTTAATGCCGCTTACTTACAGTTTACGAGTAGCTCGTTTGATGAAATCCCATATCATTTTATTCTTTTATAGGTATCCGAATGTTAAAGTGAGAGATTTTCATAGAAGTTGGCGAGACGGATTAGCATTCAATGCCCTTATCCATTCTCATATGCCTGCGCTTGTCGACTTCTATGCTCTGAAACCTCAGGAACATGTATACAATCTGGAGAACGCATTCAGCGTGGCCTCTAAACAACTTGGTATTCCACGACTTCTCGATCCAGAAGGTAAGTTCGATTTCTTATTTCAGTTCTCGTTTTTGCTGCTTACCGACGATTTATAGTTACATTTTTTAGAATCTGTACTACAATACAGATATAGCATTTCTGCCAATTCTGTAGACTACGCGTGATCTAATTGCAGCTCCTAGGCCACATGCGTTTGAAATTGCGCTTGCAGTAAAACAAACTAAATTTTAGTTTTTAAATATAATTTCAGTTCGAAATAAACATGGTAATACGATAAGCTTATTTAAGAGTCCGTAGCTGAATATTTTGAACTATATTATGCAAATTGTAATTTTAAAACACTTTCAAAATACAAGGTGAGACACAAAAACAAAAAAACAACAACAAAAAAAGGGGATTAGTCCAATAAATCATTGTACTTACAGAATCAGTTTTCCGTGATATTATCACCTTCAAAGTAGTTCTCTTCAGCATTCACGCACTTCTGCATTCTGTGCTGCCATTGCTGGTAACAGTTCTAAAACAAGGTTTTTGGAAGGTCCTTCAGGAGATTCTCCGTTTTTGCCTGAACCTCCTCAGCTGAGGTAAAATGGCTTCCCTTTAAGTAAGATTTAACTTTAGGAAATAAAAAAAGTCTCATGGAGCCAAATCAGGTGAATAAGGAAGATGGCCCATCACAGTAATGTTTATGCTGGTCAGAAACTGCTTGACGGATAGGGCCGTGTGAGCGGGTGCATTGTCCTGGTGCAACAGCCATCCATCACTTCACGACTCTGGCCTTTGTTTTCCTAATCTTTTTCAGGAAGTCTTTTTAGTACTGCAGTGTAGTAGTATTGATTAGCAGTTTGACCACTGTTCCCCCCCCCCTGAAAACCGCTTATGCCACTCAAACACTCGTGCATGAGAAAAAGGTTCATCTCCATAAGCCTCGGTTAACATTCAAAATGTTTCCCCCGTAGTTGATTTTTTTAAATTCACAAGAAACTTGATGTTGATTTGCTGTTCGGTTTTTACATTAGACATTTTTCCGGTCGAATGCAGTTGCATATGTTCACTCAATGGCTCAGTACTCCCCACTGGCGTGGTCGGTTAGGTCGAAACTGGCCGCATGGAAAGAGGAAGTGTGTGGCATGACGTCACCAAAACAGCTGTTGCCAACTCCACTCTGTTTTCAAGCTACACATTTAGTTTCTTTTTTTGTGTCACACCTCGTATCCGCCGCATGCTGATTGGCACAGTAATAAAAATGCGAAATGAACCAGTTTTTGAGATTAACTCCCTTGCAGACACTGGTTTCAAAACCACTAGTGACTATCTGGATAGCAAGATATATATATAGATAGATAGAGAGAGAGAGAGAGATACATCGGCTACACGCTTAGTTAAAATTGATTAAGTTTTACTGAATGAATATGTAACTTTAACTGAATAATGAAAATGCATCTGATGATTCAGCTGGTTGTGTAATGAAAATATTAAATATTTAAGGCTGAATATTGTCTGAGCATGTTGGTTCTTAATTTAGTTATATATAAGAAAAAGTCAGCTATTATTTTTATGCAAAAGTACTGGTAAGATGGCAGTTTTGTTTTGAACAGTTTTGGCGTATTTACTGCAGTTTCTCCTCAGCTCGCATTAACACACGGTTTCTTTCTTTCCAGCAGCGTCCGTATTGACCTTATTATTTCTAGATGAATACGTATGGGCTTTATTAATTCTAGAGGCGAGAATGTGATTAAAAAATCATGGATTTTATTTTTCATATTATTACATTACTTTTCACTCTAAAAGACAGTATTTCACATTACTTTCTGGAATACTAGTATGTCTTCGATCGATTTCAAATAACTCTTGTTAAAATGAGATGGCTTTTATAATCATAAAAACAAGATTTCAAAATTTGAAGAAAATGCTTAATTTTTTTGACAGCAAAAAGTATCTATTACTTCATAGAAATGTTTACAATTGTATATTGTAAACACATGCTTTCCTAAAAAAAGTATTTTTGTTGATTCGTATTCATTAATTTACAGATTGCTTGTTAATTTATTTGGAGTATTTCTTCCTGTTCAAGAATAATTTCACTACTTTAAATTGATATAACTATCTTTGAAGAATCTTGAATATTTCTGAATTCTATCATGTTATTCTTGTTGAAATGAAATTTATTCACTCTGTTATAGACACAGTCATCGAGAAAAAAGTATTTTGTTCTTGAAATGAGTCTTAGACGTATCTGTCAGATTTTTTAAAGTTCTATAAAACTTGTAGTATTGTTTTTATATACTTTGTCAAATTAAACACATAAAGTCTCAAAATTAATTAGAATTTTTAAATAATTTATTTGAAATTTTGGAATTAATTACGCGATTTCTCTTATTTCTTTAGTAATGTACTTAAAACAACTAAACAGTTTTAAGAAAATCAATAAAATGATGGGAAAAAATTCCCTTTATCAAGCCGACGGATACTTTAGAAGGATAATTATTTAAGTAATGGCTGAAAAACAGGAGCAATAAGTGATACATAAATTGTACGCTTGAAGTTATTGAAATTTTCCAAGAAAAGACGAATATTATGAAATCAAACTCCGAAACCATTACTTCAAACAGAAATTATCCAAAGTTGCATTTGGTTATCGCGTAATTCAACGCTAATCTGAACTTCCAAAGGGAAGATCCTAAAATCGAGTTGCAGTCGAAATCCAGTTTGAAACAGTAGTACCAAACTAAAGAAATCTGTCGGAGAGATAAGCCGGGTTGTGCACGAATGGAACCCTTTCCGTACGAACATGACGGAAGACAGTTAAAGATGCTCTTGGCGAGATCATATTTGCTTGTAGCAAGCAAAAGGAGAAATCAGTTTGTTACTAAACTTCATTTCAGTTACAAATTATCCAGAGCTATTTCCTTCAGTGGTTCAAAATACGTATCGTCTACCTGATTTTTTGACTGCCGTATCGTTGGTCCTGAGCTTAAATATCAGAGAATGTTTAGATGTTTGTAGTTATATAGTTTCTTTTCAGTATAGAGGCACATAAAATATACAGAGAGCCAAAAGTCCTCTTGAGTGGTTTGGTTACAGAAGAAGATTGGCGAGAGACCCTTGGACTCATCGACAGGAGATTCTCCTTAAAAACTGGAAGGAATCTGAACGAAATCGTACGGTCACGTATATGGTGCTCAAAGCCCAAGCCAACAGCAGATGCTGTTCTGAACACCTTGCCAAGATAAAATTCGTAGACTTGATCTGACGTTACTGACAAGTAACAAGTGACAAGTGACTTGTCTTGTGACAAGTGACAAGACAAGTGAGGTATATAAGGCCCAACATATCAACTTTGAAAACAGTCAGATCTTAGCTGAAGACCAAATTATTCATAAATTCATTGTTCCTGACAAAGTGGTTCAAAATAATCATAAAATTCCAAATTGAATACATAAAAATACATTATGTTACAAAACAAACACAAAGGCAAAATTAGAGAAAGAAGCAAAAACGAAGATTCCAAGATGAATAAGTGAGAAATACATACACTGCCACATGGTCCTTCAGTCTTTTTTACTCAGTTATAGCTATCAGCTTCTATTAAATACCAGTCTCCTAACCCCCATTTACGTTTTTTATTCATTCCAGATGTGGACACAGACAATCCTGACGAAAAATCTATTCTAGTTTATGTCTCCACATTTTCTAAAGGACTTGCGAATATCAAAAAAGGGATGACTGGAGGCAAACGTATTGCAAAAGTAAGTGCTTAGTTATGCAAATAACGTATATTTATTGGGAGGAAAGTTTTAATAAGTTAATAATACATTTTTGCAGGTGTTAGCCAAAATGATGGATATTGAAGAATTAAAAAAGGGATATGAAATAGAAGCTGGTGAACTTCTAGACTGGATTCAGGAAAAAATTAAGAGCTTTGCAGAAATGGAGCCTCCGAAGTCTTTTGAAGATATCCAACAAGAAATATTACGTTTCAAGAATTACAGAATACAGGAGAAGCCAGAAAAGTAAACAATTTTAATCATTCTTTAAACTTTTTAATAGAGAATAAGTAATTTAATGTTAGCAAAAAAAGAGAATAATGATTTAATATTTAGTCGGAAACTTGCTTTGTGAGATATTATTTAGGAACACATTAAAATGAAATTTTTTGACAGAATTATACTTACAATAACTGATATAATTTATATAAACATAGCAATTTTAAATAGAACATCAGTTTGATAAAATGAAAGGAGTTTCTAGAATATTATGTAAACATTGGTCGTGTTTTCTTAGCGAAATGCTACGGCTGCGTTAGATAAATCAGCCGGTACACCCGATGACTTCACCGTTTACCTTACTCTTACCTCGAGAACTGGTAGATAATCTGGTTTTGAGTATCGACAGACGCTGCAACGCAACCACTGCATTCAGGGATGGTCATTATTCCTTACTAAGGCTCTTTGGTTTCTTGTTCTCCCTGTTGGCCAAATAGGTTTTTTACCACCTACATTCTGTCAATAAAGCTTGTTTCTATTCATTTCGTAGTTGTATGTATCATATTCATTTTTTTTTTTTTGCTGTTATGCTTCCTCATCCTTTAAGTACTGCATTGTGACCTCTGCAGTATTTATTATTTTCATGTCTCCCATTTGATGTTTTGTGGAATTACTGCTCAAATCAGAGGAGATGTTGTTTAGGTTTTGCATATTATTGTTAATGAGAGAGAATTATTTCCCCACAGCTGTTCTAGTTGACCAGACTAAAGAGATGAAGCATCACACACAGCTTACTCCTGTCAGCCAAAGTAACATGTGCAGCCCTACACTGCGAGAATGTCTTTTCCCGAACGATGTAGGTCGCATGTGACAAGTTAAGATTGCTACTTAACGATTGCCGGGAATATTGCAATATCGCATTCTTGACTACTTGGGGGTGCGTTTATAAGGTATTTTTCCAGCCTTCTTAGCATGCGGTGTAGTTTTCTGTATGCGAGTATTCCAGAGGCCCGTGGTTCGGCGAAGGCTTTGCTAATTTTTCATGACTCCTGCTGAAAAATAATAACCTAATGTCTCTACAGTGGTGCTCGAACTAAAAGGGTGTTGGATGATGATTCTCCACGTTGACGGTGAAAACTCCTAACTGATTTAAGAGACTTTGATAAAGACCAGATTGTTATGCCCCCAATGGCCAGGAACTAGTGTCTCGGAAATGGCACTGCTATTTGGTTGTTCGCAAGGTACTCTTGTTAGTATCTATGAAAAGTGGAAGTAGGACAATAAAGCAGGTAGCAGATAGAGTGAATGAGGACCCCTGATCAATGAATACGGCTGCCAATAGTTCAGTATACAACTTAATATAATGCAGGTTCAACTACTAGTGCATCTGAGTACAGTTCATTGGACTCGTTTTATATATGGAATTCCTCAGCACTATTCTATGAATACATTTATCTATGTATTATCGTTCTAAAGTATTAAATAATAATTAAAGAGTCGAAGGATATGTCTAAATAATTTCAATTTCCTTCTTATAAATTATTGTTTCAGAATTTAATGTTTGATAAAAAAAGGTGCTTAATTTCTACACCACTACTTTTAAAATTTCAATTTTTAATACATTGGTGATATCTTATGTTCATGCTTGATATACATAATAATTCACTATGAAATGTCATAGCTTCAAGTGTAAAAATTATCATGTGTATTACAGAAACGATATGAAGAACGAAATTGAAGCTCTGCTGTTTGCTATTCAAATGAAAAGACTAGGGAAGTTTGGATGGTCGCCTCCAGAGGAGATTTCTCCAGCAGCCATTGAAAAAGCCTGGGAGAAACTAGAAAGGGCTGAGCACGAGCACGAGTTCAAAATCCGAAACCAACTGAAAGAGCAAGAGAGATTGGCAAATCTCGCCTATAAATTCGAATTGAAGGTACTAATATTTCTAGGACTTATAACTCGATCTGAAAGTTTTTGTCTCATGTTTCAAGAACAGGTGTGGGACTGTTTGAAGTTATAAATCCCAGATTCATGCCCACTAAAAACTTATCAAGTTTAGGTTTCATAAGTTAATATGGCTGAGAACAGCCACTGATATATAATGGTTATATTTTATTTAAAATCACCAGATCCTTTTATTTATTAAGACCAGAGTAGCAAGTATGAATAGATTTGTTAAACTAAATGAGGTATTAAACTAGTTCATTTAATATTACTAAATAACTAGTCAGAAGACAATAATTATCAATATACGTTATTCATTTTTACGACTCTTAATTAAGGTATGACAAGTTGTGAAGTACATGTTTGTGCCTTTAACAACAGCAACGTTGGAAAAGATCACAATTTATTTCAAGTATTGCAATATCGTGTAAGTGTACTGTTGTTGTTGTTGTGACTTATCTCACTTGTCTGACAGCAATATCAGTACAAGCCCACGAAATTCATCATGTCGTTGGCAAGAGGCCTAAGCACCACATGGGTGACAATAAGACTTTGCTCAGTTCCACCCCCAATTTGGATGGAGTAACGCTACCGATGAGGTTTCAAACCTAAGGCGAAACCTAACCGACGCGGTGGAAAATCTACAAACCAAAAACCTCCACCGTCGAGGAAGGCAGAGTCAATAGATGCATGTATTTAATCGCTGGTCATTTGTTGCGCAGTTAGAGAGAGAAATTTTTACTTTAGAGTTCGACTTACGTGCGATTTTGAATTATCCTTAATTTATGGACCATGAGTCCACACTACAGTCCACTTACATAGAATACAGTACATCTATTATATATGCATCATATACTATACATACATCATATACTATGCATGCATGTACTATACATGCATGTACAGTTGCAATGTGCTTTCAGTACGAGCTTCTGGTTAATATGCAATTAAAATCTAGAACACATACCATATGAAATTCGCAATATACGTGCAATACACGCATACAATATACACATAACATATGCAGTTAAATACCTATTAATACATAAGACCTACACAATATACAGTATTCATTAAAATACAAAAGATTTACTGTATACTATATGTGTGCGTACAAATGCAATTTTCGTTCAATGTGCGCTTTTACTTAAGAATATACAATTTTAATGTAGAACACACAAAATATACTGTTTACACGCAGTTCGCAGTATACGTGCAATATACACCTAGCATATAAGGTTAAATACTTATTGATACATGAAGCCTAATTGTTATGCTGTATAGAATGACATGCGCACAATACACAAAATTCAATACGCTTCAGCAGAATACAATACACCTACTAGATGCAATATATGCACGTACAGTTGCAATCTACTTTCAGTACACGCTTCTGGTTAACAATACGCAATTAAAAGACAAAACACATACAATTTACTAAATACTTGTAATTCGCGATATACATGCAATATGCGCATACAATATGTACATAATTTATACAGTTTAATACTTATTCATACATAAAATCTAAATATTGCGCTGTATGGAATGACATGCATACAATATTCAGTGAAATATAAAACACTTACTACATACTATATTTATATGTACAAATGCAATTTTCGTTCAGTGAGCGCTTTTAGTTAACAATATGTAATTATAATGCAAAACACATACAATGTATTCTAAAGATGCAATTCGCAGTATACGTACAATATACGCATACAGGAGAACACTCCGAAGGGGACACGTCCGTGGATCTCCCAACCCTCTTCCCCTACTACAACCTCTGGATATGACTTTTGGCTCGTCGGATATTTAGAGTGTCCCCATGCCGCACAGATACTATACATTTATAAACATCTATGCCTTCTCCGGGATTCGAACCTGGGCGCTATCAGCGTCACTAACCACTATCCCGATTGGGCGGCAAGTAAGTGCAGTGCATTATAGAAATGCAGTATACTTGGAAATCATAATTTTGACTTTCAAATACGCTATTTTCTATGTAATGGATAATGATATGGATGGTAAAAATGACTCTGTGGCACATAATTAGATATATTATATGCAGAGCGCTAGTTTTGTGATGACGATGAAGTGCCCTTATACAAGGTAATCTGGTATATCGTTTATAAAGGTCCTTGAACTTTGTACAATATCTCTGGAAGTTTGTGACACAGAATGAACTTATGATACAAAGAACTGTGACGAACAAATATTTGATTGACCCAAAGGACTGTGATTGTTTATGACACAAAGGACTATGACACACGAATATCTCATTCAAATGCATAAGATACAATAATCAGAAATTAGGCTATTCGACCCCTGTTCGTAACCTTTATATTTTGGTATTTAAACACAAACTTTGTAACCGTTTAATATAACACTCGATGTGTTACATTTTTATGATCTGTTTAGTTTTAGAACAGATTTTAATTTTTAAACAATCCTTAAATTATCTTTTGTATTTTGTTTGAAAGTCAGTCTGTTAGTTAAAGATGATGACAACTGCTGAGGAACAATTTTTTTTCCTCTGAAGCCTAACCTACTAATTTAAGTAAATTTAAACATAATTATCCTTCACTGAAATAACCTCACACACTTATCTAATAACACACGTGTTTTATTAAGGGTTATAAGCACAACAAATAAGAAAGATGTAACTAACAGTAACATTATTACTGCTAACGATATAATGGGTACGGTATTAAAAAATGGTAATAATTTTTCTGACGCTGTTGATAATTATTTTTTGCTCGTATTTTTGTAGCATAGGTCAATGAAAGAATATCTAAAAGAAATGCAGAAAATATTAGCAGATCCTAATTATGGAGCCAATATAAAGCAAGCTGATGCTACTTTCAAAAAACATGAGGCCATTAAAGCAGGAATTTTAGCAAGAGTATGTATCACTATTCTGATAGTTTTGTTATTTTAATCTTACCTGTAACGTGGAAATCTATGTTTTCTTTGCATTACCTATCTGCTCTATCTAGTTTATTTAAAAAACATTTCTTAAGATTTTATGTTAGGAATTTTATCATTTATTCAAATAATTTACTTTTAGGATTTAAGATTGCAAGCTTTGTTCAAGATAGCGGATGTTCTTGTGGAAAATGATTACAGGAGAAAAGACGAAATCCTAGAATGGTATGAACAAATTCCCCTGAAAGTTCTGACAGATATAAAATAGTCTTGCTTCGAAATTATTTATAATTAGGTTGTTAAGTAATTTATATGTATCAGTATTTGATGGGTGAGATATTCGAAGTCATTTTCTCTGCCGCAGATATCACCGCACAAAAAGCAACAATCCACTTCATATTTGAACACCTTAGTGTACATACTATATATATAGGATGACTAACTTTCCATGTTTGAAGGTATTTGCAGTGTACCAAAAACTAACAAACGAAATGAAATTAAATTTCATATACAGACGGCGGAAGACATGGGAAAATGAATTCCGAAAAAAAAAAAAAAAAAAAAAAAAAAAAAAAATAGTGCAAAAAGTAGATAAGAAGGAGAGATTTTGCAATTCTCCTCCCAAGATCGTCACAGACATGTTCCATAAGTTTTAAGTCTGGAGATCTGGCTAGAATAATATTAATATCCTGAAAATCATCCTCCAGATTAGTCCTATACGGATGAGCTTTACGATACATAATAATGAGCCGATGGTCAACCATATCCCTGAACAGGCGAATATAATGTTAAAAGATCTCTTCCAATTACGTCGGAGCAGTCAACAGAGTCTCTGCCAAAGTGCCTCTATACTCCCTTTCATCATTATGCCTACTCAGATCATTAAACTCCGCTTTCATGCTGGTTCTTTTCTAGGATGTCTGAGGACAGATACTGGCAATCCCCAGATGAAGTTATGTCGAGAATTAGTAGTTACGATGAATCGGGACTCATTTGTGAAGAGAATGGTTCCCCACTAAGGAAAGGGTTCTTGGTCCAAAGTTCGATGTTTTCTAAACTATATTCAGCGGACTTTGTTTTGTACACAAAACATCAGGCTCTCTTGCCAACGGACCTCTCCCATGTAACTCTTCAAAATCGACTCCCAGTAGCCACATGAAAGTCATGCGAGAGCTGAAAAGTTATTGCAAACTTGTTACGTCATGCTGATACGGACAACTACAGACTTTTATGGGCCGTCCTATCTCTTGGGAGAAATTGCTTAGGCAATTTCGGATTTCGGCAACTTTGGAAATTGCTCAGGTACCTCTACGGATCTAGTATTTGTAAACTACATTGCTCTCTAGAAGTTAAGGAAAAGCATGTTTTTGAAAGCTCACAGTTACAAAAATGTCAGTAACGTTTAAATTCACAGTTCATATGCACAACAGTAACGAAATTTAAGAAAATGTATGAAAAACAATGGCTACCACTTTTATTTTATAGAAATGAATACATATATAGAAGTTGGAGACAAAATGCAAAAATTTTAATTTTGTTCTCGAGTGTTGATCTTCAGTTGTTATTACAGTTTCGAGGACAATATCCAGGAGAGTCTATAAATATCCATTGGAAGTCGTTTGCCCGATTCGCTGAGATGGCAAGCGAGTGGATGGATGGAAATGGGGTATGTCACAAGCGGATGATGCGAGACGTCTCAATGTCTCATGTAGTGTAGCCCATCGACTATGGAACCAGTTTGGATTCGAGGATTCTGTGTCTAGAAAACATGTTCCAGGCAGATCTAGAGTTACAACACTTGCGGGAGACCATTATTTAGCTCTTTTGGTCTGAAGCAGGAATAACATTACTGTGCCTCAAAGCATGGCAGATCATACAACAGAAATAAGAGTTTCAGCTACTACAGTGCTCAGGCGCCTGCGCAATGAAGGTCTGTATGCAGACGACCAATTTTTTGTGTCCATTTAACACGGGGACACAGAGGTGTCCACTTATGTTGGGCAAGAAAACACGTCTCCTGTACCAGTCAAGATCATGGCAGATCATACAACAGAAAGAAGAGTTTCAGCTACTACAGTGCTCAGGCGCCTGCGCAATGAAGGTCTGTATGCTGACGACCAATTTTTTGTGTCCATTTAACACGGGGACACAGAGGTGCCCACTTATGTTGGGAAAGAAAACATGTCTCCTGGACCAGTCAAAAATGGATGTCTGTTCTCTGCACGGGCGAGTCCACCTTCCCAATGGAGATTGATTTAAATCGTCAGCTGATCTGGAGGAAATAACGTACCAGATACAACCAATTCTACACTGTGGAAAGACAGTTACAGAGGTGGTGGAATAATGGTTTGGGCTGGGATCTCTCTCGGTGATCTGCATGTGTTCCATGGAGAAACATTGAGCGGTGTGAGATATGGTGACGAAATCCTTTATCAATATGTCCGCCCATATGCCGCTGCTATTGGTTCTGGATTTCTTCTGATGGAGGACAATGCGCAACCGCACCGAGCTCGGTCTGCTGAAGAATTGAGCAGACCTCTTGAGGGTCACGATGGGGAGCAGATGGAACAGCCAATTCAATTTTCCAGACCTGAATCCGATAGAGCGTTTTTGGGAGACAGGCTGCTCTTTTAAGACCTCTTCCAAGGTCGTTGGATGAGCTCGAACAAGGATTTCTCTGTGTCTGGTCGTTGCTTCCCATTTCACTGACTGAAAACTTAATTGACAGCACGGAACTTCGCTGCCGCCAATGTATTGTAGCTAGGGGTGAACATATTCCTTATTAGAATCCATTTTTGTAATGTTACCACCCTATTTTTCCTCAAAAAACTGTGATATACTGTTTCTTCAAGACTGGATTTCTCTGCCAAGAGTGCAATTTTTTTTCATTCATGTTTCAGTTCATGTTTGTGTTAAACTTTGGAAACATTCTATGTCGCATTAATTAAGGAACTGTTTGGTGAACATGTCCTGTAAATTTCTTGTTTCTATGTTCCTTTATTCCCAAATTAGATACAAAAAACATGTGTTCCTTAACGTTTGGAGGGCAATGTATTTCCGTAAACTGCACACGAAGCTGAGCGTTACATTCAAGTCTCCAGAAATCTGAAGACTTGAATGCAATGCCTTCCTGTTGCCAATCTTCCGACGGTTCTCCTTCTCATTTCATCATCGAAATGTTGACGATTACATATCTGAACTTCCTGCTTTTGAATTTCATCAAATGCTTGAAGGAAAACCGCCACAAAAGTCGCCGAGGAGTGCGAGCGAGCGGAAAGTGTTCCGTGGGCTTTTAACAATCCTTGTCTTATAAATTCTGCCTACATGCATGTGTGCACTTGCAATACTAAAGATTACTAAAGATGTGCACTTTTTGTTTGAAAGCCTAATTTATATCTTTCGTTTAGTGAGTTTTGAGAAAAATCTCTGAAACATACAAATTTTCTTAATTTTGAGCACCAATGTATAATTATTTACGAAATTGATTGCAGCCTTCGAATTGCGTGTAGACTAAAAAAAGGGCAAGACCTGGCATAGAAAATGCTTTTACCAGATGCTGCTTTTTATCTTATAAGAAACAGCATTTTTGCAAGCGAGTAACATTTCCTCGATGATTTTTTCAAATACTGTATACACATTTGTTTTGAACTGAAAATGAAATTTCTATCATCATGAGAAATTTAATCTGAATGTATGTGAAGTTTTCGCACAATTATTCACGGAAAGCTGAGGGGAAGGAGTTTAGATCACATAAACGGTAGGCTGATTGATAATTCGAAGTTAAATAGCTAAATGCTGAACAAGAGTAACTACCAAAATAAACTATAAGGAATATAAAATAATTTTGCAGAATTACTTTTAAAGTGTTAAACATTTGTTACCTAAAACGTATTTTTCAATTGGGAAAAATTCTTTTAAAATAAGTAAATTTCAAGCCAGAACTTTCCTGCAGTGTTTCGAACAAGGAAGTTACATCAATTGCCAAATTCCATTTTCAACTTGCCCTTTTTTAAATCTTAAATAAATTACACTGGTGTGCAAAAATTAAGGACGAAGTCGAAAAATTAGCATATCAGCTGAACGAAGAGGCAGAGCGGACAGAAAGACCAATCAGGAGATTAAGTAAGGTGATGTACGGTAGCACATGCGCAGATATGCAGGTAGACGTAATGGGGGAGTGTCTGAGTAGTATAAAGCATGTTGTCGGTGTAAGATCAGTATTTATGGCAAAGAGATTGCACGCCGTATAGCAGTTAAAATGACACCGAGTTGCTACCTCAGCGAGAAATGACGAATAATCAGTCTGTTAGACGACATCTGGATGCTTTTACCCGAGGTCGAATCATTGGGAAATTGGAGGAAGGCCGCAGTGTGACAAGTGTGGCTGCAGAGTTCGGAATTGCTCACAGCATCGTTTCACGACTTTGGAGACAATTTCAAACTACAGGAACAGCTATCCGGGGGTTTTTAGTAGTGGTCGTCCACGAGGAGCCACACCCGCAGATGACCGGTATATTGTCTTACAGGCCAGAAGAAACAGGCGGCAGACAGCGGGAGAAATCGCTAGACACACGACAGGCGACTGGCCGACCGATATCACGTTTTATCGTGGCCAGAAGACTGCACGGTGGTGGTCTGTTTGCACGACGCCCTGTACGGTGTGTACCTCTAACGCCTGCCCATCGGAGAAGGCGTTCTCTGTGGTGCCGGGAACACCGGAATTGGAGAGGCAATGAATGGGGACGAGTACTCTTTACAGATGAGAGCAGATTCAGTCTGAGTAGCGATTCTCATCGCATACTCATCTGGAGAGAGCGGGGAATCCGCAATCATTCCTTGAGCATCATTGAAAGGGACAGGTATGGAGGTGGCGGTGTTCTCGTTTGGGGAGGCATCATGCTTGGTAGTCGTACAGACCTTCACATCTTCGACGCAGGTTCAGTCAATGGGACCCGTTATTGTAACGAGATTCTTCTTCCATATGTGCGTCTTTTTAGAGGCGCTATGGGTCCGCAGTTCCTTTTCATGGACGACAATGCACCATGTCATCGCACAGTAGCTGCCGAACAGCTCTTAGAGAGTGAGGATATTGAACATATGGATTGGCCGGCACGATCTCCGGATCTCAATCCCATCGAGCATGTATGGGATTTTCTAGGCATACGCTTGGCAGCTCGTACCTTACCACCAGTAAAGATTCCGGAGCTTCGATTGGCGCTGCAAGGCGAATGGGCAGCAATGCCTCAACAACTCATTGACACCCTCATTCTCAGCATGGGCAGACTCTGTAAAATCTGCCTAGTAGTCAGGGGAGATCATATCCCCTATTAAAGACCGGATGTTGCTTGCTGGACACCCATCACAGGGATGTTTCGGCCTTCAGTCGCATTGCGCTCCATGCTATTTTTTCAATAAAGCTTCTTTTTATCCCTCTAATTTCTCTTTTAGTAAGTGTTGCTTACATTACTCATGTCCTTACGTATTGGGGATCTTACGGTATTAAATGTGTTGATTTGGAAAGCTTTTGTACAAAGTTATATTGAAAAAAACCGTGTCGTCCTTAGTTTTTGCACACCAGTGTATCTCAAACACGGGACTAACTACTGATGCGTTCGTAAGATTTCCAGAAATATCAGTTATGTATATGAAATCGTATAAATCCCGCAGCTGAATGTGCCAAAATTCCTTTTGTAGCTAATAAATTCAGATTAGTTTTAAACATAAATGTTTTGAATAGTTAAAAATTTTTATTAAATTAATTCTTTAAAAGTTAAAAGCAATCTCTTTAATCTTAAAAACCAACTTGGGGGGGGGGTCTTCCTAAGTTGTTAGGAGCAACACTATGTTTTAAACAAAGAACTGTATTTTAACTCGTTTCCCAAATGTTATTGCTGTTTAAAAGTAGATGTAATGATTTTTCGCGTTGAAATTTACACACGGTATGCCTCAATAGTTTAAGCTTTGAAATTTTAAGTTTCGATCAATGAATTTAGGATTTAATCATATTTAAATATATTGATAGTTTAAAGAAGGAAATGCACGCTGGCAGAGAGCAGATTTTGACTTAATAAAATTTGACTGACACCAGATTATCAAAGGTCAAGTATATTCACTTAAACACTTAGAATCGTCAACTCTCTCTGGCGCTTTTCTTAACTGTTTCGGTGGTTAAGGAACATGGCGCATAAATGATGTCTGTTGCAGCTACGCCGATCGTAATCCAGTCGCATCTTTCTGGCTGCTCCTGAATTAATGGAAACCCTCTGGCTGGCGTTTAATGACACATCTAGATTAAGTCCATCTGTTACTATTTCTTAGGACGCCTTTTGAGACTTTGCTACTTATTTGCGTCCTTCGATAGAGGACGTTCCATACCACCATCCACCTAGAATTTCTTGCCGATTATATTAGCGGTTCTTTCTTACCAGGGTCGTTCGTGATTGCATTAGGCTTAAACATCGAATATCAGCCCTGTGAAAAAAAAGATCCAGTCTATAGTTTTCCAGGATGAGTTTTTATCTTTCGCATTATGGTGTTAGAGTACTAGGATGGTCTTGCGGGAGTTCCTGGATGTTCTTCCCGCAAGACACATAATCTTCACCGTTGTCGTAATCCAATTTCTTTTGGGCTTCTATATAAGAGGCTTTAATTAAATTTCTGTTTTGTTTCTTTGCCAGCCTAAATTTCTGCGTATATTTCTATAAGCTGCGACTAATGGTAAGGATGAAGTAGTACCATATATTTCCGTGTAATAAGCCGGGAATGTTTGAAACATTTTCTAAAGCTAAAATACGGGGGTCAATTTATATAAACATCCGTTAATCTAGCATAAAACACATAGTACTTTCCCGTTAGCCCGGAAAAGCGATTAATGATAGATATCGCCCTTTCCCCATTCTAGAACTTGTTTTTCATTTATAGGGAAATACACAGCAGCCATTATGTTATTAAAATTTTAGTCAAAGGTGATCATCTATAGTTTGAAATTTCACGTACAAGACTTTTATTCTCGCTCATCTTTCAGACAAAAAATTAAAATGCCACTGAGAATAAGACTAGCAGATATACCAGAGATCTTTAACAAGACAACAAATGAATGAACACAACAATAAATGAAAAATTTGATTAGAAGATAATTCATACATTTCACCCGCTTGGCAACATTTTTGCTCTCATAGCGACATTTGAACGTAACATGATTTTTTTTCCTTTCGGCTTACACTGGTGTGCAAAAATTAAGGACAAGACGGTTTTTTTTTTCAATATAACGTTGTGCAAAAGCTTTCCAAATCAACAAAAATAATACCATAAGATCCTCAAGATATAAGAACATGGTTAATGTAAGCGAAACGTCCCAAAAAAGAAATCAAAATTATAGAAAGGAACTTTATTGAGAAAGGCAGCATGGGGCACAATGAAACAGAAGGCCGAAACATCCATGTGACAGGTATCCAGCAAGAAATATCCAGCCTTTAGTAGGGTGGATGATCTTCTTTGACTGCTGTGCAGGTTTCACATCATTTGTCCATGCTGAGTATGAGATTGTCAATGAGTTTTGAGACATTGTTGCATATTCCTTTTGTAGCACCAATCGCAATTCCGGAATCGTTACTGGCGATAAGTTACGGGCTGCCACGCGTATCCCTAGGACGTTCCATGCATGCTCAATGGGATTTAGACCTACAGACCTTGGCGGTCAGTCCCATGTGTTCAATATATTCACTCTCCAACGGCTTTTCGAGAGCAACTGTGCGAAGAGGTGGGACGTTGTCGTCTATGAAGAGGAACTGAAGACTCATAGCACCTCTGAAAAGTCGCATGTAAGGAAGGAGAAACTTGTTACAATAGCAGTTCCCGGAGACTGAAACTCCTTGGAAGATGTGAAGGTCGGTACGGCTACCAAGCATTATGTCTGCTCAAACGAGAACTGCGCGAACCAGACCGTTCCCTTTTGATGATGTTGGAGAGGTTATTGAGCATGTGTCTAGAATCGCAACTCAGAATAAATCTGCTCTTATCCATAAAGAGTACTCGAGCCCATTAATTATCTATTCAATTGTGATGTTCCCTGCACCACAGAAAACGTGTTCACCGATGAGCAGGCTTTAATGGTATACATCGCACAGTCGTCGTGCAAACAGACCACCACTGTGCAGCCTCCTGGCCAAGGTAAAATACCATATCGTTCATCCAATCGCCGGTTCCATGTGTCTTGAGATTTCTCCCGTTGTTTGCTGACTGATTCTTCTTGCCTATAGTGCAATATTTCGGTAGTACGCAGCTGTGGTTACTCCTGGACGACCACTGCTGAACCATCAGACAGCTGTTCCTGTAGTTTGAAATGCTCTCCAATTAAACTTGACCCCATAGGCATATAATTTAAATCAAACAGTACTCGTATGTGAAAATCAAACGGCTTAGAAGGCCCGACAATGCCCCGGGTTGGAATGTCGTGAAACAATGCTGTGATCAGTCCTGAACTCCAAAACCACACTTATCACATTTCGACCTTCCTCAGTTTTTCTAATGATTCCAATATAAGTATCCAGATATCGTCTAACAGTTTTATTCTTCGACATTTCACACTGATGCAACAACTCGAAGTCGTTTCAACTGATATATGCCGTGCAAAATCTTCCCAAAATGCTGAGCTCACACCTACAGCGATCTTTATATCCCTCCGACACCCCCATTACTTCAAGCTGCATATATGCGCATGTGATAATGTTCCTGACCCTAGTTGAAATCCTGATTAGTCTTTTATTCCGTTCTTCCTCTTCGTTACACGTATAAGCTAATTTTTCCACACCCATGTATATATGGGTTTTGAATTTCGGAAAAAAATTTTGAAGGAAAAACGCACTCTCGGCTTATACACGTATCAGAATATATTCGAAAATATATGTATTTACCTTTCAATCTAATATATGATAAAAAAGTAATATGTCTGGTTCAACTGGTAGAAGCTATATGGGCCGCCCAACCGGAATAATAATTAGTGACTCTGACTGCCATACCGAAGCCCCCCCGGGTTGGAATCCTGGAGCAGGCATGGATGTTTGTAAATGTATAGTGTCTGTATAACATGGGGTCATTCTAAATATGTGGCGAGCCGAAAGTCCTCTCGAGAGGTTTGTGGTAGGGAAAGAGGGTTGGGAGAGCTTCGAACCCGTCCCTCCATCAAAAGGGGGGCGGAACTGAGGAATGTCGTACTGTCACCTGCATGGCGCTCAAGGCTCTTGCCAACGACAGGCGCAGTCTTACACTCCTTGCCACTATGAATTTCGCGGGCTTGTTCTGATGTTACTTTCAGACAAGTGAGATAAATCATAACAGCAGCAAGAGACCTATATGGTGCATTGATTGCTTAGATTCGTATAATTTGATTTCTGGAAATAAATATCTCTTGATTTACCTAAATAAAGAATGGGTGCTTCTTTACTTCATTTTTGGAGAGACCACCTAACACACTCAGTGATCAGGGTTGTTACTAAATTTTAAGTTTCAGCTAAAGCACAAGGCAGTCGTTTGAAATAAATCTATAATCAGTTTAACTTTGCTTAAGAATTTGAGTATCTTAATCTAAGTGACAATCATACACAAGACTGATGATATACAACATATATTAAACTTTAGTTTAGTTAAAGATTAAGTTAAATTACAAGTTAATATAATGCAATTATTATTTAAAGGAAAAATGATATGGAAAGCAGCTGGAATTATGTCCTTCGCTTGCTTGAGGCTTATGATGAGCGGTTCTCTCATTTAAAGCAAGTAATGACTAGCTTGGAAGAAATGGATACGATTTTGGCGGACATGAAACAAATGCAGGTAAGATATTTTCTCTAACCTTAAATCAGTGTCTTTTCCAAGTGCTCTTTTTTACAATCAGTGCCACAATGATCAGCTAAAACATCATGATCACCCTTACATAATCACCCTCCCATCATGATTACCTTTTATGAGAATGCGTTCTCCATTGTGACATAGATGGCACATGGGGAAAGTGTGGATGTTATTTAACTGCTACTAAGGATAGTGATGTATCATTTTATCAACTACGTGTGAGTGTAATCCAGAAAGCTACTCCATTTAGACTATTTTAATAAACGCCAGTTTGAGATGGCCCGAAGGCAAGGAGAAAACGTTTCGTAGGAACAAGTACCTACGAAACGTCTAGTCGGGAAATGACGAGCTGCCGTTTTTTATAATATGCAGGGTGTCTCAAAAGGTCGTTGCCAAACTTAAGGTGCTGGTTTGTCATACCATGAGAAACAAGATTTACCTAAGAACTTAAATCAGAAAATGCGAATGGCGACCGCTAGAGAGCAATGTTCGCGGGCTAATGGGAGAGTGAGAAGCGTGATTATTTCAGGCGAAGACGTTGTAGGAGGGGAGGAAACGATTTACTCAGTTCTTTACGGACATTTTGTGGAAAGAGTATTGCCGGATCTAATAGTTGACGTTCCAGCAGTTACACGCCGAAACATCTGGTTTCAGCATGTTGGAGCGCCTGCACATTTTAGTAGCACTATGTGGGAATACCTCGATCGGACACGTATCGTGACCTCTGGATTGGCAGAGGCGGACCAGTCGCATGGCCACTACAATCCCTCGACCTGACTCCTCTGGATTTATGCCTGTGGGGATCACGAAGTCTATGGAGTACGAGAGGATCGTAACATCGGACATAAATCTCGCTGCCAGGATCACGGAAGCGGCGGCACTTTCCGTGACACACGGATCCATTTTGAATGGGTCCGTGTGTCACGAAAAGGAATTTTGAACATCTTCTATGATCTAACCATGGTTCTTTAATGAATGTCGTATTAATACCTTTTTTGACATCCTTTCTTTCTGCCCTTTTACGCCTGCGAACATTGCCCTCTAGCGGTTGCCGTTCGCATTTTCAGACACAAGTTCCTGTGTAAATCTTGTTTGCCATGATATGATAGACCAGCATGTTAAGTTTGGCAACGACTTTTTGAGGCAACCTGTAAACAGTAAAACAAGAATAATGAAGCCGGTAGTAGAATCAGAGTATTTTACGTTCGCGTCTGGATCAACGAATACGGGCAAGGGATACTCACTCGCTTGATTAAGGAAAATAGACGGTTTCCGGTGGCTCATCTAAGAGGCTAATCGCATGCAGGTTTTTATATATATTTCATTGGATTGTACTGGATATGAGACTGCGCGGCAGTCGCCCTTCTTATGTGTATGTATATATGTTAACCCAGCAGTATCGATGCTTATGACTACAGTCAGCCCATGCGCAGTCGCATGCATGGTTGTGACAAAAGCATGCAAAAATGGGAAGCAGTTATTTAGTCGGATGAATGACGGTTTGCTTTACATCAAATTAATGGCTGTGTCAGGATTCGTCGTCTTTCAAGAGAAAAGCTGGTTGACAAACGTGCCATGGAATGTAAACAGTTTGGTGATGAGGGTATTATGGTTTCTGTGATGTTCTTATAAACGTCTGTGAGACCAGTGGTTGCTGTAAAACACATCACGACAGTTGCCGATGATCTGAACGCCATTTGATTAGTTAATTGTTTGGTTTGCTTGATTATGGCAAAGCACTCGAGGGCTGTCTCCCTAAAGGAAGGAATGCTTTCGTGGAGGGTTTTCTAAGGGAAACTGGTTCACATACACGTTACACATGTGGAAAATCACAAAAACGCCCTTGCAGCATCCAGTCACATTTTTCATTCATTTTTCATCTAGTCACAAATTTTCAAATCGTTTTTCCATGTTCAATTTAAGTTCGCTGAGGTGGCTACTCTGTCAATATCCTCTGGAGTTACATCATCTTTTATAGATGATAATTGGAAAAATGATGAAATTCTCTCTTCAGCAGATTATGACGAAGAAGTTCAAGTGTGTCAATAAATATATCACAATACATTGACATCCTATAAGAGTTTTATTAGCTCTTTGAAGCTGCAAATTGCCATCGTTAAATCTCTTGAAAATATCTGCCAAGTAAAAGGCATCATTTGTTACTGTCTTTAACTGTTGACACAAATTGATCTCATTATTACTTATAAAAAATTGTATGACACTATCATATAATGCTACAAATTTAGCCAAAGATGTAACCCTTGACAGCCCCGAACTTCAGTGTGCAAAAGCAACTTAATAAAATCTTCATGATTGTTCTGGCATAGCTGCCAAAATATTCTATCATTCTTTGCATTAGACTTGATCTCGCATACGGCTCAAATTATTAATGTTGAATGGAGACTTAGATGTTTTCTTATAAGATGTTGTCTGTGCAACACACAATGAATACATTTGGCACTTCCTGCTTCAAATAAGCAAAAAATCCACGATAGTGACGTACCATTGATGGTGCTCGATCAGTAGCGCATGCAATAAAATTATTCAAAGCAATATTATTTTTTGTAAAATTTCTTTTCTCTATTAAACATAAATAATCCTTTTGTATTTGCGAATTTATTGCGAATAGATTGAGATTTATTGCGAATAGAATTTCTTGTCGTAATCTATTGTTTTCATCAAAAGCGTACATATGCCATCAATACAGCATCATTATCTGCAATGGTAGACTCATCCAATTCCATGGAAAATGTAGAGTTTTGGAGAATATTTATGAGTTTGTTTTCAACATTAACCACCATTTCATCAGTTCGTGGCTTTACTGGATGTACTAGAGCTTAGGGACAACGTTTCTAAAATTTAAGGTATGTCCTGATGTATTACTGTTGAGATAAATTCTGTTACAGAGGGTATTACTATAGTTTCTATAATATTATAGCTTTTACCACTTTTTGCGATTAATTTTGAAATGCGATTGTGATGTTCTCATTCTTTCCACATCTATCGAGAAATGGAGAAGCTGGCAGCAGCAATGGGCATTCCTTTTAATAAAATACTTGTTCAAAAATTTTACCATAGCATTTATGCGCATGTTTTTGTAATAATCATAAGGAAAATATTAGTAGGAAAACTTAAGCAACGCCTTCATAACAAATGCGTTAACTTTCTAACTTGATAAATGTTTCCTTGTAATGTATAATTTATATTACAACGCCAAGAATAATATTTACTTCTGATATGGCTTAGTTTAGTATTACAATACATTTAGCTTCCATACGAATACAAAAATATATCCTCTAAAAGTTATAAAATGACAGACATTAAAAAAAATCATTATTAAAAACATCGGATATTATTACATAAATGAAAAAAATGGAAGGACATATCTGTTATTTATCTATGTACCATTTATATTTTCCAAAGGATGAAATATAACATCAGTAATAAAAAATAAATACCCATAAAAATTTTGAAAATAAAATTATTTTTAAATATTTTTAGAATCTTTACTTGAAAAAAATTTACAAAAGAAAGCAAAACGAATATGCAAATTACGCTTTCCTGAAATCTGAAACTCACTTTCTAAGCCTTTTGATTTTCACATACGAGTACTGTTTGATTTAAATTATATGCCTATGGGGTCAAGTTTAATTATTGATTATAACAATTAATTTTACTGCTTCAAATGCATCTGATAAAGCATTCCTAAGTATTACCTTTGCCAAATTTGCCTTCATAAAGTCTTATTCGTATTTGAAAATAATAATGCTGGAACAATTGATTTTAGGCTGAAATGAATTCAGAAGCTGAACCCTTAGATGTCGAATCCAGTTTGCAAAAACAGGCAGTTAGGGAAGTTCAGATAGCATCCTGGGGAGAAGCTATCCGTCGTTTAGTATCTAAGATTGACAATAACGAGAAAATGAAAGATGCTTCAGTCGTTCAGAAGCAATTGTCTAAACTGCAGCAAGCCCATGAAAGGTAAGCAGCAAAACTATTAACGATATTTTCAGTTCTATCTTACACACTGGAAGTTGATTTCATTATGAAAAACTACTTTAAAATGGTATTAATACATTGCTAACATTTTTATAACAGTAGAAAAGTGATAAAAATATTTGGCATCGAATGCGTAACCATCAGGAGTACAAATAAGTCCCCGCCGTTTTTTTTTAATCAAAATTTGGGCATTTATTGTGAAAGAACTGTATGTTATGCTTTATTGAGAATATTGTCCATCGCTAGCAACTACTTTTTCTCATCTTTGTGGCAGCATACTAATACCGCGTCGGAAGAACGCTTGATCTTTCGAGGCTACACAAATCAACTCAATATTTGGTATCTTCATATGAAGTGAAGCTTTGCTCAGAGAGGCCATCCATCATCAATCAAACCAGTAATAATCAGAAAGAGCAATACCTGACGAATACAGTGGCAGGGGGGAAACTTGTCATCTGAATGTTTAAGAGTAAGTTTCGACTAGCGCCGCAACATGTCGATGAGCGTTATTAAGCAATTTTGTCATGTCTGGAGTAGTAGTGAGCACATTTTTCCTTGAGTTCTCGGCTTACTCTCATCAACTGCGTTCGTCCCAGTAGTGGTTTCATTCGGTTTGAGTAACTCATAATACATTACACTAAGTTTATCCCACCATATAATACATGATGATTTTTTCCCATGAATATTCGGCTTGACTGTCGATGTTGAAGCATGGCCAGATCATTTCCACGATTTCTTCTTCATTGGGGTATCGTAGTGGATCCATTTTTCATCAATAGTGATTATACGATGCAAAGAACCCTTTCGTTCGCGCCAGGCAAGCAGCATTTCACGTGTAAAAAATCGGTGTTCATCGTTTCTCGGCTTCAGTTCATTCCCAATGATTTTAAACGATGTGAAATTTCTTGTTGAGTCACTCTTAATGTAAGTGCAAGTTCTATTTGCGTTTGACACAATTCTTCATCCAACAGTGCTTCCAATTCCTCGTCTTTGTATACTTCTATCTTTCCGCTCCTTTCTTTGCTTTCGTCGTCAGATTCAGCATTCTTAAACTTTTGAAACAACTCAAGACCATTTCTCTCACATAAGGCAGCCTCACCATATGCTGCTACGAGAAATCCATGCTCCTCAGCTGCAGATTTCTTCAAATTAAAGAAATAAATCAAAAGTTCACGCAAATGACGCTCATTCGGCACAAAACTCGACATTTTCGCACGAAAAAAAAAATAGACGCTGACACAATACGTTAATATTTCAAAGTTATGTTGTTAGTAGATGTCCAACCTTACGATATGACATTTTACGCCAGACAACTTTAACCATTACTTACTGATGGTGCTGTTTTTTACAAACGGCGGAGACTTACTTGTACTCTCAAAATTAAGACAGATTCTGTAGCAAATATTGCCTGGTAAGTTGGATATAAGGGATTAAAGCAAAGAGACTTTCTTACCACCTCCTTGGGTTACAAACTACCTTTATTTCGTTTCGTTATGCTACAATATTGCATTTCTTCAAATATGTTAAGCACCATTTTATATCAATATGATTTCTATGCTTCAAAGTGAAATGCTATCATGCTTAGGATATTTTTGCTCAGTAAAAATTAAATTAAAAAGGACATGATTTAGTCTCTCGATGGGATTTCTTAAGTGAACAGTAGGATAAAGTGGTTTTCGTTAAGCCTCTATCACTAATGAGCTCTTTTTAAATGTTTTACGAACTGCTTTGGTTTTAAATTTTATTGCGTTATGTCTCTTTGATTTTAAAATACAATTTTACATGATTGTAATTTAATAATTCAGAACATGTGTACAGAAGTCTTACATCATTTTTGAATGCGTGTATTTAGCAATATATTTGCGTTTATTTTAAACTTAAAATAAAGTTAGAGGCCTTTACAGAATACTTTTGAATTATTCTCACCTGAGCATGTAAATGTCTGAAAGTTTGCGTATTGCCAAAACGTACTATAATTAATCACTTTGGTATTACAGTTTAATTGATATTTCAAACATTCGACGAGATTCTCTTGAGGAACTTCTGAAACGCAATCAACAACAAGAAAATATAGAAGAAATGATGGCTTGGGTGAATGAAAAACAGTTGTACTTAACAGCAGACATTAACTGCAAAGATTTGCCGAGCGCTCTACACCTACAAAAATTGCACAAGGTAAGAAATTAGGTTTTAATTTGTTTGAAACCTTTAACTTTTGAAGAAATCTTTGGCATCAAGACCATCTCTGTAGTACGAAGAAACCGTGATGTTATTGAGAAATTTTAATTCAAAATACCTTTTTAAATCTTTGTGGCAGCTTCTTGGTATCACATTGAGATCTTTTCTTTATTATGAAGTTAATTTTTATTTAACATTAATCTTGATTCAGCTCTGTATTTATAACTATGGTTTCAATCTATATACAATTTTTGTAACAGAAACAAATGACTCTTTTATATTCAAATTTACAATATTCCTTTTCCTTGTAATATATTTACTTAGCTTTGAACGTGTTATTACAAAGTTTCAACTATTAGAAAGGGTTTTAATGCTTAATATATTGCAAGCTGTAAAAAGAGAACCATAATTATTTATGTAAATAGATATTAGTATAACCTCTTTGGTTTCGACTTATTATAATAAAATTTCTATTCTTTGCTAAAGAGTATAATGTAATAGAAACTAACTGTGTAAGGATCTTAAGTTTTACTAACGTTTATTTTATTTTAAATCTTTACTATCACTTCTTATTTTCTACTTCCGGCCAGAATTAAAAGCTTTAACTTATTTATGCAAATTTGTCTTGCGAACGCCAAGTACTTAAGTTGTGGCTTTTTGCCAAGCAAGAGAGAGGAAGGAGTTAGTAGAAGCAGGCCGCTTGCCTTAGCAGTTTTACTCGGTTGCTGGTTGCCTTCAAGGCCAGAGGTTTAATCCTCTTGATAATTTCAAACGTATCGTAGTGTTAACAGTTCTCTGTACTACATACAGCCTTTCTGTTAATATACGGCCAATCTTCAAGTAGACCCTTGTTTATTAATCCAAAGTTAGTTTAGTTAGAATTTAGTTAATATTTTTATATTCTTACGTTCAGACCACAAGTGGTTGGTCTCTGTATTCCGAAGTCCGGAAATCATTGTAAAGAGAGAAAAATAAAGGGTTTCGTATACCCTTCCTGTGTATCTTGTCTACTTCCCACATTTATTGAACATAGCTTTAGTAAGCTCCCTGTTCCGAGTCAGGTCATTGAATGTTCCCCAAGCAAGTAAGGAGAAACATTGAACCTGATAACTGAAGCTATGAAAAATGGCGCAACGGAAACAAACGGCTCCTGTCTTCTTGGGTTTATACAATTATAAAATTAGGTTCAAACTTAACTTGCAGATTTCTGATTTTCTTCATCTTCTCCTGGAAAGTGAATATTTAGAAAGAGATAAGAGTAAACTTTTACTGAATTTCACATTTTTTCTGTGCAAATAGTGTTAAGAAACTTACAACTCAATAAACTCTGTGATCTCAATAAAGTTCACTGTAATGCGCTTCTAAAGGTGTAGTATATTAACGGTAATATATGTACAGAGTTTTCTCACTTGAGCGTAAACTCTTTCCGTTTGTTATATAAAAACTATTGAAATGTCATGAAACGTCATTTCACTTTAAAAGATGAAACAATTTGTATATCAGGAAGCTGTAATTCTCTTTCAGTTTTGTGTTCTTCAACTGCTGCGAGTTTTATATTCTTCATAACTTAAAATAAACGTCCTTTAGCTCATTAGTTTAAACGTACAAGCTAATTTTGCTTATTGAAGTGATGACCTCTAAAGCCGGAAACAGTTATTGAGATATGATCCCAGTATTGAAATATAATAGAAATAATATAGTAATAAGGGAGATTACTCTATTATTTAAGCAGATCACTGGGAGGGGGAAACTTAGAAAACTCGAACAACTAATATGTCAAGAAATACCTTGAAAATTCAGCACATATACGAAAATATCAATTAAGAACTGAGAACTTCATAAAAGATCTGAATTCAGTATTATGTAAAAAAGGCTACAAATAACTCACATACACCCAGTAATAATATTAATCATGTTATCTATGCTGAATATTATTCTTACGTTCTTCTTTCGTGATTTTATTCTTGACAGAAATCAATCTGGATAAAACATGAAAAGAAGATTATTAATAAAAGTCATATTACTTCTACTATTATTATTTTATATGCATAAAATTCTTAATTGTAACTAAAGTTATTATTCTTAATCAGCTCTCATTACACATTTAACCTTAATATATTTTTATGTCACGTGGGCTTATGATACAAAGTAAAATAAAATAAACATGTAAAACATGTAAAATAAACTGTTAAAATATTCTAAAAGATTAAGAATGACATATGATATAAGGATATGGTAGGAATGGCTAATGTTTGCGCCAAACGTATATACGGAATTTCAATAATATGCATGTTTGTGTTTAGCGATTATAACGGATTTGGCATAGCAATGACGGATAAACAATCAAAACTGCTATCTGAGAATATTATTTCATGCAGCTTCAATGCGCATCCACAATGTGCTGGTGCAAACTGCAGATGTAGACCTATAGACTAACCTTTAAGTAATTAAGACACATAACACGCCGAATAAATACTGATTCAGAAGTCAAACAACAAAAATCAGCGTTAATTCACAAAATTTTCACAGGACTAGTTTCGATGGTTTTACCGAACCATCATCTTCAGCTGCAAAACCGCAAATGAACAAGATAGGAAATAATGTTTAGATAAGATAAGAAAGCCTGGACAAGAATAAGCAAGTGGCGCCATCTGTTGGCGAAACCAGAACTAAAACATAATTTCTCTAAAAGCCGAAGGCAAATTTGGATTGGAATTAGGATCGTTAACTAGAACAGAAAGATTTTTATGAATGTGAAATGCCTCTAGAAAATCCAGTTCTCCAATGGAAGATGTTTTTTGAATAATTTTGGCAGCAGAAAAATTGAAAGTGTGATTTTCGGACCAACAATGTTGAGCAACAGAAGACTTCTGTGTTTCCTTTTTTTCTAACATATGCCTCATGTTCTTTGACGCGAAATTTTTAAGGCTCTCTTAGTTTGGCCAATGTAAATTAAACCGCACTGGCAAGGAATCCTATAAATACCCCAGGAATTCATATCCGGAATGGGGTCCTTGAGTATAGAAGTTGGAATTTTATTGATGGGAGAAGTAAACAACCCGAAAGTTAAATTTCTGCAAAATATGTGCAACTTTATAGCTAATTGATGGAAAGAAGGGAATGACAACAGAATTTTTATAATCTCCTAAAATAAGAGTGTGGCTTTTAGTGTGTTGAGATGAGAATTTTTTAACTGCTTGATTAATAATGTTGGGTGAAAAGCCCCTGTCAATAGCTATTGCTTTTTTAAATAATTTAGTTCTTCATCAAGGGCTAGTTTGGAGGAGCAAACTTGAAGAGCACGGAAAACATAGGAATAAATGAAGCTAACTTTTGTTTAGTCGGATGACATGATTTAAAGTGTGGTGGAAGGCAAACCGATGAAGGTTTACGGTAAACTGTAGTACTGAAGTTGGATGTGTTACGTGTGACCAGAATGTCGAGAAACGGAAGAGAATTGCAAGTCTCAAGTTCAAAAGTGAACTGAATAGCAGGATCAATAGAATTCGTTGTTGAAAGAACTCTATTTAAATCATCTTTATTACCTCAAACAGTAAAAGTCGTCCCAACCATGCCGAAAATTCAAACAAGGATCATAAAATAAAAACCTGACGATCAAATCCCCGCAATTTTTTTAAAACATAAAATTATTATCCATCTGTTGCGAATTGTGCCAGATTATATGCTCTTCCCAAAATTCATAAAAGTGGTATTCCTTTCCGCCCTATTGTATCAAATTTAGGTACTGCCTCGTATCCATTAGCTAAATATTTAGTTTCTAGATTTTCCACTCTATTAGACAATAACATTTACACCATAAAAAATTCAATATTTGTAAAAAAAAGGTTAAAAACATTTCTCCTAGTAATTTACTCATGGTTTCTTTAATGGAATAATGATGTAAAATCATTATTCACCAATGTCCCAGTGGAGGGTGCATTAAGATGTCTAGAAACCAGACTTCGCGAATTTCATTTCTCTTGCATCGAAATTGATGAGCTAATTTCTCTCACTCAACTCTGTTTGAAACAAACACATTTTGTTTTCCAAAATAAATATTACAAGCAAACTGAGGGATTAGCCATGGGAAGCCCCCTCAGTCCCATCCTGGCTGATATCTACATGCATTATTATGAATCAAAATTGTTTGAAACTTTAAACTTCCCGGCATGGTTCCGCTACGTAGACGATACTTTTACCCTGTTTGAAGGTAATAAAGATGATTTAAATAAAGTTCTTTCAACAATGAATTCTATTGATCCTGCTATTCAGTTCACTTTTGAACTTGAGACTTGCAATTCTCTTCCGTTTCTCGACATTCTGGTCACACGTAACACATCCAACTTCAGTACTACAGTTTACCGTAAACCTTCATCGGTTTGCCTTCCACCACACTTTAAATCATGTCATCCGACTAAACAAAAGTTAGCTTCATTTTATTCCTATGTTTTCCGTGCTCTTCAAGTTTGCTCCTCCAAACTAGCCCTTGATGAAGAACTAAATTATTTAAAAGCAATAGCTATTGACAGGGGCTTTTCACCCAACATTATTAATCAAGCAGTTAAAAAATTCTCATCTCAACACACTAAAAGCCACACTCTTATTTTAGGAGATTATAAAAATTCTGTTGTCATTCCCTTCTTTCCATCAATTAGCTATAAAGTTGCACATATTTTGCAGAAATTTAACTTTCGGGTTGTTTATTCTCCCATCAATAAAATTCCAACTTCTATACTCAAGGACCCCATTCCGGATATGAATTCCTGGGGTATTTATAGGATTCCTTGCCAGTGTGGTTTAATTTACATTGGCCAAACTAAGAGAGCCTTAAAATTTCGCGTCAAAGAACATGAGGCATATGTTAGAAAAAAGGAAACACAGAAGTCTTCTGTTGCTCAACATTGTTGGTCCGAAAATCACACTTTCAATTTTTCTGCTGCCAAAATTATTCAAAAAACATCTTCCATTGGAGAACTGGATTTTCTAGAGGCATTTCACATTCATAAAAATCTTTCTGTTCTAGTTAACGATCCTAATTCCAATCCAAATTTGCCTTCGGCTTTTAGAGAAATTATGTTTTAGTTCTGGTTTCGCCAACAGATGGCGCCACTTGCTTATTCTTGTCCAGGCTTTCTTATCTTATCTAATCATTATTTCCTATCTTGTTCATTTGCGGTTTTGCAGCTGAAGATGATGGTTCGGTAAAACCATCGAAACTAGTCCTGTGAAAATTTTGTAAATTAACGCTGATTTTTGTTGTTTGACTTCTGAATTCTTGTCGGCGTGTTATGGTGAAAAACCACAGTCTTAAGTTTGGTTGTGGACGGGTTAGACATTTGTGTTATTTGTACATTTGTGTAGCTCGAATTAAGTTACTTCTTCACTTTTTGATGTACAGTTGGGTAGTCCTGCTGTCAGGGATTCGTAGAAGGTGAAAACTTGAATGAGATGTAATACCAGCTCAAAGTATGGTACGCATCCCGGGACCATTATGACACTGCCCAGCCTTCCTAATGCTATTTCCAACTGTTAACTTCCAAACGTTCCATTTAAAAATTCCAATTTTTGCACCACTGAAATCGCTGAGGTCTATGGAAAACATTCAAAGTAATTCACAACTTGTATTCAAAATGGGATAAGGGAGGGGGTTTAGAAAGAAGATAAGGAACTACGGGATAAGACACTGTTTCAGTTAACAGTTTTGATCATTTCATAGGTTTATGTTGCTCATTTCTCTAATTTGCAGCTAAATTTAATATTCATTCTTTATTTCATGCGGGAGCCCAGGATAACAGAAACCAAAATGCTTTGCATTGCCGATATTCAGCCCTAGGTAGAACATTTTTTTTTTTCTCAGATTTAAATATATCTTCCAAAATAGGAAAAATATAATAATAATTTGATGCATGAAATATATTTTTATACTAACATTATAACGACGACAATCGTGGTGTACAATTCAGTTAAATACCATTTTTTATCAGTTAATCTGACACAAACTCCTTCCCCCATATGCCCTATACTCAGAAGATAAAGAAAATAAAACTTCTAAAAGAAAACTAATTTTAGGATACTTTTCTCAGTTAAATATAACTCTCACATTTAGTGTTGAAAAATAAATCTAATAGATTTATATAAACACGAAGTAATTTTTTTACCTTTAATCTAGGCTGTGGGCATGGAACTGAAGCTAAGAAAAGATGTTTCTGGAGACATAAGAGACAACAGGCTCAGCAAAGCTATTGCTGATCTAGAGCAATTATGGCAAAAAAGAGGAGACCAAATTGACCTTACAATTGAAGTCTATCAGGTATTACTTATAAGTTTTCTTTCAAATTATTTACGTAGTGAATTAAATGAAATTGTAGGGATTTAATAGTGGATGTTATGTCTTTTTCTAGTATGAAGCGGATGCATGTGAATGCGATTCCTGGATATCAGAAGAACTTAAATTATTGGAAAGTTTAGACTACGGAACTGATGAACTCACTAGTGAGGTACGATACGATAAATAATTGCACTTGCATTAGTTATTTAATTAGTTAATTACTTTATTAAAAAGATAGCTTCCCTGAGAAGTTTACGAAGATTTTTCACGAATGCTGAAAACATTTTTAATGGCCATAACACAGGCATTTTTCTATCAGAAAAATACCCCACAGAAAGCCTTTTTTCAAACACAACTCTCCTTTCAAGCTTTGTTATAAATGCTAATTTGACTGTACGATGCAGTATCCTGTTTTCTTTAGAGCTAAATTTACGTGACCATTCTTATATTTCCTTTATTAAAGCAGCACATTGTAATATCTTCAGAATTTTGAAATGTTAGCACCATATATTTTAAATCTCACTAATGATTTTCACCAACATACCCTAATTATGATATATCAGTAACCAGAAATAACTAAATGAACCTGCCACTTGGTAGTTAAAACGATTGCCGATCTGTCTGCATTTTATTTCTTTATCATTCTGAGGGAAATTCCACAATAAAATAGCGCTGTGTTTAATAGAGAGAAGTTTATTCAAACCTGCCATTTATCTACCTTCCTACAAAGAATTGTTTTTTTTTCTACATATTTAAGAATTACCTAATTTTAGCTTTTAGCTATTTTGGCTATTGATGCAAGAAAGCCTTTTCTTTCAAAGCAACATACGAGTCCCGCGGATCTGAAACGATTTGGTACATTATCAGAGCAAGAAGTGTTCCTTTCTTATGGGTATGAACACTAGAAAGTAAAAGGATTTTTTATTCACAACTCTTTTGTTTATCTACCTTCCTGGTGCCTGTCACAAAAAATTTCTCGCTTTCGTTTCAAGGAATCAAAACAAACATAAATATTATTTAAACTTTCCTGAAGTCAAATTGCTGCATAACACTGTTGCCTGATGTTGCTCCATATAAAACAGCACATTGTAATACTTGTAGAATTTGAAATGTTGTTATCATATATTTTTCAGCTCATAAATGATTTTCGTCAACATATATGTAACATTGTTACATCAGTAACCAGAAATCAGTAAATGAACGTGCCACTTGGCAGTTAAAACAGTTACCACCGATTTCTATACGAAGGAAGTGCGATGTTAGGATCCTATTCATATCATTAGTAATCTTCAGCTAAAATCAGACATAAAATCATTCGAATTGTTTACTTATGGCAAAACTCATGAAGACATTTTGCTTACGAGAAGGAAGGCTTTCGTGGAAATTTTTAAAGAAAAATTGGCCGTTTTATACGCTGCGTATGGTAAGAAACTCCTTGCAGCTGGACCTCATGTCAACAGATCGAATGACCATGCCTCTGACAATTGACAATTTGCCACGTCTCATGAATGACAAATTAAAGATCCTATGTCTCGTAGAATGGCAAAGCTGCAATGCAGTGCCGTCAACTGAATGAAAGCTAGGAGCAGCACAACAGCTGCATGTGTTTCTACAGTTTAAGAAGATCGGAATAAGTTTTTTTCCCATGTCAAAGACACAGTCAAGGTAAGCTAGATATCTTTGAACAAGACCGATAAGTGAGATTTGTATGGATCCCGCTTCTCTGAATGTTAATTCCCGTAATCGTAAAGACGGTCATACGACTTATCGTCCCATTTCCACTTCTAACTCGAAAGAAGGTTTGGAACAATCCTTTTTTATTTAGTCGTCTGTCTGACGGTTACACAACGTGTGTAATAACAAAAAATCAAGTCTCCACTGCCAGTGGCGTTTCAGAAACAAGAATTCAAGTAAAATTAAAATACTAAATTAACAAAGCAAAGTGAGGCAACAAGCTTTGGCTCAGACCTTCAGATTTTCAAGAGCAATTACGGCTGACAAAGCTATAGCCGAATTTAAATAATTTAGTCGTAGGGAGAAGTAATATCGTAAAGTTTAGTAAAATCTGCCAAAAGGGCTTACTCGAACTCTAGAACTGTGCGCTTAAATACATTAACTAATTTACATTCTGTAGGAATCAACTAATTTACAGGCTGGATCGAAGAAAGTAAAGTACAGATGTATAGTAAGATAACTTCTTAATTGACATGAAACTCTACAGATTAACTTAAAGACCGAAAAGAATGTCTATTCGTACTGGAGAAAGATTCTCTGTAATGATACCTGGAAAAGCAATGCATTAGGTTTAACTGAAGGCCTCACGAAACTGCGGTTTCAAGTCAAGAAAGCCAATGATTTATGTATTCTGCGGTGTAAGTCACTAGACAGAGTGGTTGAAATGGGCATGTAAAATAGACTGAAGACAAATGAAGAACCTTACAGCTCAAGGATGTGTATTGTGTTTTTGTTGTGACTCATCACACAGCAACATCAGATCAAGTCTGACAGCAACATCAAAACAAGCCCACGAAATTCAACGTGGCAAGCAGTGAAAGATTGCACCTGTCATTAGCTACAGCCGTGAGCATCCTACAGGTGACAGTACGACTTCGCTCAGTTTCGCCCATAATTTTGATCGAGAGCACCCTGGAGGGGCGAACAGATCCGAGGGTCCCCCACACCTCTTTCCCTACCACATTCTCTCGAGAGAACTTTCGGTTTGCCGCATATTTGGAGTGCCCCCATGCTGTGGATTCCAAAACGGCCCCTTTGGTACGGCACTCAGTCACTACCACTATCTCGTTTGGGCGGCTAGTTCAGAGATAAGTCCAGATATTGGCTACAGAGCAATACCAGAAGTTACACGATATCAAAACAGAAAAGAAACACGCGAAAGTAAAACATAAAATTAGCAAAGCAAAACCTTGTGCTTAGCGTAAATTTAGGCAAGATCTCAATCGATTTCGAGGGTATATAGGTACAGGTGCCTCTTTATGAGGAGCATGCAAGACTGAGCAGCGGCCGCAAACGATTATATTTAGTTCCTATGGCAGTAAAGCGAACGAGAAGATACCGCCATCGAGTAAATAATAATAGTAACGAAAATAGTAACGAAATTAAAAAGTTAAAATAGAATTTTGAAAGGACTGGACTGGACTTAAAGTCATTAATTAAACAAGGTAAATCTTTGTTAATGTGAAAAGCTTCAAGGAAATCCAACTCACCAAATGAAGAAGCTTTTTGAATCACTTTTGCAGACCCAAAATCAAAATTATGATTAAATTTCCAACAATGATTAGCTGTCGAAGACGTGTTAATTTCGCCTTTTCGATATGAGTCGCGTTCCTTGATACGAAACTAATGCATTTTTAGTTCGGCTGATATACCTCTAAACGCACTGACACGATTTGCTGTAAATTCTCCAAGAATTAAAGTCAAAAATGGAATTTTGAAGAAGCGAATCATGTATTTTATATACGATTTACTGATATTCAAGCTCTAGCTACTATCTCAGTAACATATGTCAAAGGCAACATGCGTATTTTAGATTGCACTTTTATAAGCTGATGTATAGATCTCCGTTAGTTATAAAACAGAAACCTTAGTGCTCGAAAGTGTAAAGAAATAATCTTGAATTCAATGAATATCTTTATGCAGATCCCGTAGGAAAAATACGCGTATTACGAAATTTTTATTATATCCCACTACGAGTTCGATTAATGGAAAAGTTATCTTCAACAGGAGACTGTTGTATCTGAATTGATTAGCTGAATGTCTAGACTCGAAATATTAGATTGACCACACGTTTAACTGATATGTGAGGGTCTATGGAGAGATGTTACTATCTTCAAACTGTCAACTGATACTAGCGGACAGTTTATTCGTGCCGTATGAGGATAATGAAATTTACTCTTTCTGAACTAGTCTACATCATTTCAAACAGTTATGGAACATCATTGTTCTCATGTTATTTAGGTTATTCGAATATGGCAAAATCCATGAGGCTTATATGCCTATATAGGCCCCTATAGACCTAATAGTTCGGATGATTTAGTGGAGGATTTTTTGAGGGAAACTGGCTGATATTTCTCATGTTTGGTTATGAATTGCTGAAAATATGAGCACTTGACACACCGAAACCTTTGCCTGTTGCATTGTAAAACTTCAAATTAAGGCAAGCTCTAAATTTTGAAGAAAATTGTTTCTCGTGCAGAATATTTTTACGCCATTTAAAATATTAATGTACCTTATTTTTTCTTAACTCCTTCATGTCCTTTTCTTAACACTAATTTTTCTTTAATTTATGTACCGGGTGGCCATAATTAAACTGACAGTGCTGACAGTCTTCTGTAGCGCGATCTATTTGCGAGAATGATGCCACATTTTGTAGGAAGATTAAACAAGACGGAGGACGAAGGATTCCGCGAAAAAAATAGTTCCAAAAGTCACCGCTAGGGAAATATTTGGCGCTGTGTAATAGAAAAAAGAGTGTTAACAAATGCAAATTAATACGGAATAAAATTTATCGCAGGTCCATTCTTCTATGAGAACATTACCCCGACAGGACCGGAAATCTGTTCTGTTACTGGAGAGAAATATCGCTACATGTTGAACAGCTTTGTCATTCCGGCACTTCAGCAAAGACAATGCTTGGGGGAAATCATTTTCATTTGTTGCACGGGTGCAACAGATGCTACGACAGAAATTCACAACAGAATGAGTCATTAGCCGCTACTTCGCAACTGCATGGCCACCTCAGTCGCCTGATCTTACCCCATGCGACTTCTGGGTATGGGGTTACCTTAAGTCCAAGGTCTATCAAGGAGTGCTCCAGGACCTGGCTACGTTGAAGGATAACACATTACGGACTGTATGGGAGATTCCTGCAGACATGTTACTTTTCTGCTGTTGTGCATACTGTGCACAGAATGCAATATGTGGTCCACAACAACGGCACCCACATTGAACCTCATTTGAATGCAAAATAAAAGGTAATTTCCGTATCGATTTGCATTTGTTAACACTCTATTTTCTATTACACAGCGCCAAATATTCCCCTAGTGGTGACTTTTGGAACTAATTTTTTTTCGCGGAATCCTTCGTCCCCCGTCTTGTTTAATCTTCCTACAAAATGTGGCGTCATTCTCGAAAATAGATCGCGCTACAGAACACTGTGAGCACTGTCAGTTTAATTATGGCCACCCGTTATATTATTTCTACTTTAGAAGGAATTGTTGCTTTCTGAAGAAGACTTACACTACTCTGAAAGGTTTCAAAGAGCTTTTGACATATTTGTTAAACTAATATGTTTAATATTACATATTAATTTTTTTAAGTTCAACATCAGACGTTTTCATAACTTCAGTTATTATACTTAAATCTTTAAATACTATGAGAACATTAAAAATACATTTTTTTTTTTTTTTTTTTTGGCTTTTTAGGCTTTGCTTCGCCGCCATGTACGAGTAGAAGATGAAATAACAGCATACGCTTCCGAAATACAACGATTACGCCAAGAAGCTGAGAAGATATGCAGTTCTGCGTCAGATCATATCAAAGTACCATAACTCAAACATCAAATTAATCTGACATAACTTTCTTGTATTCTTATTATCAACCTGTGGTACATAACTCGGTTTTTTTTTCCCTTTACAGAGCAGTAGCTCTCGAATTTCAATCACTTCCCACCTAAACAAGAAATTCTCGCCCACTTCCATAAAAGGTACGTATATTAATTATTGACGTAAATTATAAGGTATTTCTCCCACTTTCCTAGCGTCCTTCGTGGTGTAGTGGTTCTGCACACTGAGCCGGTATTTCAGAGGTCCGTGGTTCGATTCCCGGCGAAGGCGTTTGCTAATTTTTCATCTTGCTGGCCTCTAAAAAATCCTAATGACTCTACAAAATAATTCCTCTAATAATGACTTTGAAAATCAGCAATAGTCAAGGTAAAAAAGCGTGTTAATATTAAACTAAATAAAATCACCATATTAAGTAATTTAATATTTCATTAGATATTTTTCTCTGTTTATAATAATTTGCGAGAGCATATCAAATAAGAATTTAAGAATGAATAATTTTTAAAGCATGCGCAACTGGCAAAGCATTGTAAGGATAAAAGAACCACCAAAGTAGACAAATATGTATATATAATTGAAATTCATAGCCCATTATCAGTTTAATATTTATGATTACTATTGCAAAGTAAAACATTAAAGAAAGATTATTGTTATGCAAATGAAATTCATATTAATTAATACTGAATATAAACTCAGAAATCACAGAAATTTCTTAAAAAAATTAGTTAAAATAATTAACATAAAAAGCGTTACTTAAAAATCTGATGTAATACACAGGATGAATACTCTTTTATATACACAGTCCAGTCAGATTAATGTGACCACCATCTACTTTCGACGTCAACATGGAATAATTAATCAGATACGTGCAGGTTACAGTACATTGCATTGAGTATATATAAAGGGTGTCCGAGAGAATCAGAAAACATTGCAGTCGTTAGCGTAATGCAGAAATTGAGATATTTATCTGACTTCCAAAAGGATATGATCATTGGCTTTCGGGCCAAGGATGGAAGCATTTTCGAGATGGGCTAATTTTGTAAACTGTTCGCATCCTACAGTGTAAAAGTATACCGTGCATGGCAAAATGGCACTATCCAAAATCAGAGTCGTGGCAAATGTAGTGTGCTAAGTGCCATAAATGACAGAAGTGAACGACTGTTGCTGAGATGCCTTCGGGCAAGTAGACGTGCAACCGTTGAGCAACGGGTCTCCCAGATGAACCAATAGGCTACCAACAGTGTCTCCTCAACGACCGTTCAGCGAACGTTGAATGTGTATGGGCCTCCGCAGCAGACGCCTGGTTAACCCTTTGCGACACAGTGTGTCTGGTCTGGACATACCTAAAAATTTCCTTCTGTACGCACAGAAAAATTGAATGAAAAAGGATTTATAGGTGACTCTGAACCTTCTTTATTTATAGTAGATGGCAGCTCAACACAAACCAGTCCATATATTTTAGCCATGTTTAGTTTTTTAAGAACCTCATTTTTCAAAGAAGTCTTCCAGATTTTTTTTAGTGTATAAAAGGAATTGTTTGAAAAGAAATTTCTATGCTGTTTTTTTGACTGTATGCTAATCTCCTTATTCTATATGAGTTTTAAATTTTTACCTTGAAATATTGCCTAAAATCAAACGGCGAACCCTAGGTGTACCCAGACCGAGCTCACCGATAATCTAGGACAACTGAGAGTCTGTATTCTTTGTTTCTCCGCATCTCATTGGTCAGTTCATTGACAAAAATGCTCGTTTCAGCACTCTTTTCGAAGCTCTATTCAATCAGTGTGCTCACTTTAGGCACACCCACAGAATTAAAAGATAGGTGCTATCTTCACAAAATTTTACTTGTGTACTCCTCTAGGCCTAATTAGACTGCCTAATTTTTTTTTATCGAAACTCCAACTTTAAAAGGTAGCGTGCCGGAAAGGGTTAAAGTACCTATGCTGACTGGTAGTTCATCGGCGACGAAGGCTGAAATTTGCACGTACGTCCACTGAGCGGCGACAAGTGGTTTTTTCTTATGAACAACGTATTATGCTTTATCGGACAGATGGACGTTGGCGTATACCGCATGAAAGGTGGGAAAGCAAACACCCTGCAAGAATTGCCGTAATGGCGAGGCTGGAGAAGGGAGCTTTATGATCTGGGGAATGTTTTCGTGGCATTCTTCGGGTGCACTTATCATTGTGGAAGGCACGATGGATCAACAGAAATATGCACCTGTCCTTGCAGATCATGTCCACTCCTACGTGCGAATTGTTTTTCCTCTTAATGGGGACATCTATCAGCAGGACAATGAAAAGTGTCATACAGTTCGCAGTGTACGTACGTGGCTCGAGGAGCACCAGAATGAGTTTACCATACTACCCTGGTCAGCAAACTCCCAGGACTTAAACCCAATCAAGAATATGCGAGACCACTTCGATCGGGTTTTTCGAGCTATGGATCCTCAACCGCGTAACCTAGCGCAGCTGGCCACTGCACTGGAATCGGCATGGCTCAGCATCCCAGTGAACACATTCAAGAACCTAATTGGCTCACTTCCTGCACGTCTGGAAGCAGTCCGCTCTGCGAAAGTAGGTTATTCTGGGCTTTTGACAGGTGGTCACAATACTGTGACTGGACTGTATATATAGATATATTCCGAATTAAGCAATATATGAGCTAATAAATACAGAAAACGAAGGTCGGATATACAAAATCACGTTATCCTAGATTTTGAAAGGTAATGATTTGCAAAGAAATAAGTACTATAACTTGAAAATAGTCAGAATAAAAATAGTGGCTATGGCGAAGATTGGACGGTAACGTGAATGGGATAATAGCCTGTCACTCTTGACAGAGATTGAGTTGTTGTTGACATCCCAAAACATTCGAAATGGCTGCGCCGGCAGGACTAGCTAATGGCGACGCACGGCTACCATGTGTAGAATTCATAACAACAAGAAAATTAAAGTTCCTGGGTTGACGATAAAAACTCTGTATGAACTGACAACACCGTCCAAAAGATGGTTTAAAATATTCCTACTTTGGCCGTCAAGAGAAATTCCATGTTTGACAATATAATCCAGATATACGAATTTTTCCAAGAATTACCACGATTTCTGGAATTAGACGAATTTTTCACAGAACCACTGTACTTAACTAAGTCAAACAAAAACCACAAATTTTGAGGATGAAGAAAGAATCGCACAAGTATAAATGCAGCATCCACATATATCTCAAAGACTTGCGCATACAGTGCAAATGGAAAACAGAGCCCATCTTTCTCCGCTGAGCGCATTCCAGACTGGCAGGTTTCAGCTGTCTGAGACTGGTTGAAGGAGGTAAACGTGGAAAGAGACAACACGCCCAAGCTCATTCCACAGATTTTCAATGAGATTAAGGTCGGGGAGTACGGCGGCCATTCTATACGAGAAATATCCTCCTCTTCAGATACTGGCTACGATGTTGGCTCTACGAGGACGGAAGGAAATCAGGGGCAACTGCTGCAAAGTTACGGGTGCGATAACCATTGGAATTCCAGCCCACGCTGTCTTCTTTGAATGCATAATGTTCGGCGTCTAATTCCATGAATCTCGTTCTAATCCGGGACAGTCCAACTGAGATGCTGATAACACGATTTTAATTTTGCTCTTCTTGATTGAACTGTTAGTGGAACACACACATTTGGTACTCAGGCATACTATCCCTTCCCGTGAAGCCTTCGGCTCACAGAGCTGGCAGATGTCTCACCTATTGACGCTGAAACCAAGGAGTAACAGTTGTGGTAATCGAATGTGGATTTCACTTGGCTACTATAGCAATGGACCGATCTTCAGAAAGATGGTAACCCTATTGGCCGGCCACGCACAGGATTCCGGACAATTGTTGGACTTGTTTGGAATTGTTTTCACATTTGAGAAGTTACTGAATTACCAACGTCAAAGAAAGGAGCGACATTTTTGACTACCTTGTTTCAATGCGACAACAAGCCAGAGCTTACAATTTAAAATTCGTCTTGTTTCAGCCATAGAAACACGAATATCATCAAAACTTATTTTACCGGAGTTAATAATAAATACTTTGTATCAGCGTTTAAATGAAGCTTCTTAAATCTTTCAGAATGCTGGCGTTTTCAACGACTGAATACTTAAGCATATATTCGGATGCCAGTTGTGATTGGCTATAACATATTATATTCGCATGCTGTCGTCTGCCTCCGCGGTAATTTTCAACCACTCAAATTCAACTATGCTTTCAAAAACTGCTAATTAGAATCCCGTACTTAACTTTTGGACTCCAGTGTAATTTACCTTCCAGCCAGGAAAGAAAATGACAATTTAATACATCGTTTGTAATTTTTTGAAAAATATGATGATACAAATTTGTAATAAAAATTATTCGATAAAGCTCTGCCCTACTTTTGATTTGAGAAAATAATAATTGTAAAAAAAAACAGCTTGTCTAGATATATAGTGCTGTTAACATAATCAAAAAGTTATTTTTCATAAAACTTGCACAATCCTAGACTGACTGATTGTTTCCTCTAGAGAGATATTATAAAGATGACATGCGCAGCAATATGAAGACTCTAATAAAAATTAACGACAAAAAAGTGATGCAGAAATTGCCTAACAATTTTGTCAGATGATAATTCTGAACACGACGGCTTATAAATTTTGTTGTTCACAAAGAGCTTCGATAAGCTTTCATTGTTTATACTTAAACGGAAAACTTCAAACTGTAGAGACGTTAGGTATTTTTTGGAAGCAGGCAAGATGAAAAATACGCAAAGCCTTCGCCGGGAATCGAACCGCAGACCTCTCAATTACACTCTGAGCATGCAGACCACTACACAACAAAGGCTCGCTAAGAAGGCGGGAGAAATACCTTATAAAACTTCCACAGAAAGCATGATGCAAAATGTTTGTATTTCAGGTGGTTCAGAATATGAAAGGACAGCAATACAGCAAATCAGAAGTCATCAGACCCAAGTCGAGAAGAATTTTTCCAAGCTTCAGAGCAAGTGCCAGGTTTGTAAATAATCTATATAAAATACTAATAGGACAACAGCAGCAAATTTAATTGTATCCTGAAAAAATTGTTTTTGTTTTAATGCATTATGATAAATGGAATAAAAATTATTCATACTACATGGATAAAATGCAATAAAATAAGAAGAAAATGATAAATTAAAACGACAGAATCATCCACTATATAAACTATACCTCTGTATTATTCATTGTATCTGTCTGTATTTGAATCAATATAATAACTCGAATATTAAACGATTTCCTCTTAAAATAATTGCATGAAGGACACTACCCGTTTTAATGCGCTGCTTAACACTTTAAAAATATGTTTAAAATTCATAACTTATTATTTAACGTTTAAGTTGACAGAAAACATATTCGTTCAGTGTCAGCCCACCAGCGGCCGAGCGGTAAAGTCGCTGAACACTGGTAGTTCGGTCCGAGAACGGGCTGGCTGCATGGGTGTTTTCATGGTTTTGCCCATGCGTAACGTGTATACGAGCCAGTTTCCCTTAGAAAGTTCTCCACGGAGGCATCCCTCCCATTAGGCAGATAGCCCTCGAGGTTTTGCCATAATGACACACACACACGTTCAGTGTCACCTCGGAGTATGGTATTTAAAACCTTTAATTACCTTTCTTACAGAATAACTTAAAAATACCGAGTTCACATACACAAAAGGCACCTTAAATGCTAGACCGTTTCTTCCTTTTTTACATCTGTGAAACATTTTCAAAATGTAGGATCGTCTTATAAATGAACAGTTACATATACATGATGTAATAGGATAGTTTATACATATGCATACAAGTATATTCTTTTAACATTTAAATGATAAATATCTTTTGGGAAAGACTGAAATTTGTTTCTCTGTACCGAAAACGCACTGTAGAATGAAAATCAAATTAGAAAAATTTAATGCAGTTTTTATTAAATGTTTAAAATAATTTTTAAGTGTCGCTCTTTAAGTGGACATCTGTAACCAAAAAAAATTGTACCAATATCCGTGAATACTGAAATGATAATTCAAGGATTCACGGCCTCGAATAAAAAGAAGTGCTTACCAACAAGTTTCGAAATTCGATAGAGGCAGGATCGTTGCCTATCGAAAGTGTAGATTATCGTTCCGTGATATCGGTGGTCGCACTGATCGACATTCAACAACTGTCCTGCGAATATAGCTGCGGCTAATTATATATACATATATATATAATAAATCAAAATCTCGGAAATCGGAATGAAAAAGAAAATGTCGCATTAAATATTTGAAAGCTAAACCTATTCCGATCGTGTAACAAATTAAACAAATGAAACACAAATTAAATAAAAATACCAAATTGAAATGAAAAATATCATTTCAAAGAGGAAAATTTATAAAAAAATGGGAAATGGTACAGATTAAAACCAAAACAAGAAAAATATTAAAAATTATATTAATCTCCTTTGTTTAACGCTTCAAGCAGAACTTGTCAAGGAAAAAGTAATTTGAAGCCTTAAACCAAGTTGATTAACGACTGACGATAAACATGTTTCGTTCTAATAAATTCACTGAGACTAAAAACCGCTTTAAAGCAATCCAAATTTTCTTCCATGTGTAATTTGATTTAACAGTCTCATAAAATTCATATATATATATATTTAAACCAATAATTCATAATAATTTATAATAAGAAAACTTTCCATATACCATCTCCAAAGAACACAAATTCGATTTAAATCCATGAATGAAAAAAAATTTTAGTCAGAATTCTAATTAGTATTTTCAATCTCCTTGCTTAAAATTATAAAAATCTACAAAGAAAAATCTTTAATCGCAAAAATACCCACCAAAAGTAAACATTTTAAGTATTGAAAAAGTAGCTATTGTCATTGGTTTCAGATTAATCGACTTATTAAGGGGATAAACCAATTTACCACCAATTAAGAACAACTAAATTACAGAGTGTTTCATATATTTATATAATGTCAAACTTTTATTACCATCACCCCATTTATTCATGAGATTACGCACGAAATCTCAGATGCAGCAATTATTAAAGAATTTTGAAGCTGCTGTTTAAGAATTTAACAAAATAAATTGTAAAACAACTGAAAGTGTACTGTCAAAAATAGCCGAATAACAAAAAATAAAATTCTTTCAATAATAGCCTCCTTTCAGTTAAAAAGTAAAAATTAGTAATGCGTTGAATTAATTAAAACTTCTGACCGGTAAAAGAAATAAACACTTTTTATTTTGATCAGGAGAGAAGAAAACGTCTGCGGCATTCCACTATGTATTTTCGATTCAAAGACGGGTGTGCAGAAATGGAAAACTGGTTAAGAAAAATGGTAAGTTATTTTTCTCAGGTTTTTGTTTCTTTAATATAAGAGAGATATATTGGAAATGATAAACCTTACCCTTTTCCATAGGAGCGTATTATCGACCAGGACGACTTCGAAAACGAAGAAATTGAGAAATGTTTCCAGGTAATGGGATAAAATTTTCTATCGCATTAATTAAGTCCTTGTTACCTTCCAGACTGTGCTTGACAGTCTGAATGCATTAAAAATTAAAGCAGCTAAAAATAGTATTACAGGAGCTCCAAATTAATTCAAACATTTGTTCCTTTGGTTTCCTTAGTGTCCTTGACTTCCCTCCCCTTGGTGAAATTATACACATGTATTAGATACTTTGCATTCGAGTTGAGCTTCTGCATAGCCACTCGTAATACTATTATGATGTCTATTGCTTTTTTACAGTCTTTTGAACAAGTTATAGTCTTTCTTATACACCTGATATGAATTTATAATTTTTAACTTACGCTTTAACTTTTGTTCATAATTAATGAGATTTTGCTGTCACACAGGCTTCGCTTGATTTGTGCATAATACTGCTCTTTTCTTTATTTGTAATTAACGTGAACGCAAGTAAGTTTTCTTCTTCCTCTTTCCGAATGTTTTAGTTACATAGTCACGAAATGTAACACTGCTCGTGAGACATGCGTTACGTGTTGTCCTGTGCTCGCATTTCGAGAAAATGCACGTAGCGTTTCTTTGAAAACTGCCAACATTCTCATTTAATAATTTTCAGCGAAATCCGAAGCGATTTCAGCGATTTAAAATGTCCTAAATTTCTGTAAAACAAACATAATAGTAGAAGTTAAAAATCAAAGCATATAGCATAGCTTTGTGATTCTTTTGTGATGAGTCAACTAATTCACAGATAAAACTTTTTATATATTCTGTAAGAAAAATGCTGCATAATTTAAAGGAAAATTCTTAAAGGAAACAAATAATATGAGGCATTTGCAATCGAAGCTGTTAAAGAAGCCAGACGCTCGGAAAATGTAGACAGTTTCTACTGCTGCGATGCACTATTAAATATAATCTGTTTGCATGTCTTTAAACTCTCCTCCCTCCGGAAAAGGCTTTGTTGTTCTAACTTAAGTATTTTGACATAAAATCTTACTTTTTCTGAAATAACATACCGATTTTTTTTTCCATATCTCGATTTTAGAACTCAAATTATGCCTAAATGTTAAATTTCGTAAAATTTCCTGTGAAACTTACCGAGAAATTAAAAAAATTATTATGGCACACTTTTTTTTAATTTGCGTCAAGAACACTTGGCGAAACTTTTAATTTATGGTGACCTGCTTTCCTTTCCCTTTCATCGTGCAGGAGTGGAGAAAACGTACATCGTTCATTCTTTAAAATAATTTTCTTTACATCACATTTGCCCACCAGCGGCCGAGCGATAAAGCCCTTGAAGACTGGTAGTTCCGTCCGAGGCTCGAATCTCGCGAAAGAGCTGGCTGCATGGGCGTTTTCGTGGTTTTCCCCATGTGTAACAAGTATACGAGCCACTTCTCTTAGAAAGTCCTCCACGAAGGCAATCCTCCCCTTAGGCAGGTAGCCCTAGTGTGCTTTGCCATAATTAAATAAATCGAACCAAACCAAACTTTGCCTCACATTTGGCATTATTATTGCTTGAAACAAAGATGCCAAATTTCAACGTATATCTTAGAAAATTTTTAATAAATAAACTCTAATTTTTTGCAGGTGTGTTTAGAAATACGTTTACTTTAAAATGGCTGCAAAACTTTTATAAGTTATAATTAAAAGTTTATAAAAATTACTAAAAAATATAAATTTTAAAAATAAATCAGAATATATCTGCAAATTTTAATAAATCAGAATATATCTGCGGATCAGAATATATATCTGCAGAATATATCTGTGGATTTTATTTGAACTGAACCTAAATTTCGAACCGTGAAAGAAGGAATCAAGTAAGTTTAATAATAATAAAAAAGATTTGTTTACTAAATATATACCAACTTCAATTAACATGGAGGAACTAAAATCTTGAGAGCTAATTTTTTTTAAAACTACTTGAACGATTTTTACAAAATTTGGCACTTTCGCATAATTTGAGCAGCAAAATCGTATGTATAAATCTAATATACATCGTTAAGTCATTCTTTCGAGACATGAAAAACGCAAGTCGCATTTCGTCATTCGGTCTAGTAGAAAAGATAGACTGACCCCCTTTTTTTGTACAGAGTGTACCTACAGATATATGGATATATGTGTTATTCAACTTGACTTTTCGATCCCTGTCGCAATAAATTTTGTATGCAGAAATAAAAAGCAATAAACATTCGAAGCAATGAAACACATAATTTTGAACAATTATGCATGTGATAGCTTTATAAAGAAATGAAATCGTTGCTACATAATATCCTGTTTCAAACGTTCAGCGGATGTCTTCGAGACAATGTAATATCTCAGACACTCCACGCTACTGATCACCACTTAGTTGGTAAAATCAAGAACCTGAACATTCGCTTTTATTCATTCTTTACACGTCCCTCACTTTTTATTAATAGTTTGTAAGTTAAGAATTTCAAATTTCTTGCCGGTCATTACTGACTTTTAAAAAAAATCTATTTCAGACATATATGACTGATATAGCAGCACATGGAACTATGATAGAGAACCTCAAAACTTTGGCCGAAACACTAGAGACAGAGAAATCTGATCAAGCACAAACTGTGAAAATTCTGCTTGAGGACGTTAATCGCAGGTGACAATGAAAAACTCCAAGATCATCATAATTTTATGAAAGGAAAATAAGTAGTGTATTTCTCCCTCACTTCTACTTTTTTCATCTTTCAGATGGCAGCACCTTAATGAACTGACGAATTTAAAAGCAAGGAACCTGAAGGGATTCACAAGGTGAATACATTAAGATTTTTTTTTTTTAAAGATTACAAGCAACTGATTTAACTGATTTTTGTCCTTGTTTGATGATCACTTTCAGGCCCCTGATCACTAGGCAATTGGTTAAGGTCGCTGCATATTGTGAGTTATACTCACGTTCGACTAATAGATGCAGTACCACTTTCGTATAATTATTATCTTTGACTTTCAATTATATTTATGTATAATTTCTCACACTAATTTATTTATGTATAATTATGTAAAATTTCTCATCTTTGTTATTTATGTATAGTTTCTCATACTAATAATATTTAAACTAGTGTCCTCCTTGCTCATCGCATGTGCGACGAAGCGAATGCTTGGCTAAGCGAAAGATCTAAAGCAGAAATTGAAGTCGGTGCGAAAGATGTCACAAGTTTCGCTACATTACGTAGAAAGCAAGAAGTAAGATATTAACACTTTACAAAAGCTCGCAACTTATGGAACTATCCAAGCTACGAAGTTTCTTTCATTTATTTACTTTTTTTGCATGTATTTTACCTATTTATTATATATTACATGTAATTACCAGGCAATTGAAAGAGAACTTGCACCAGGTGAGGAAAGAGTCAAGCAAGCACTTATTCTTTCAGAAAAGTAAGACATGAAATATCTTTTCTTCAAACATTCAAGTTTTATTTAATTGGGTATTAATCCTAAAAATCTTTTAGTGTTGCAAAGTCGTACCCTGAGAAGAAGAGTTCAATAGAAAAAAAGATGCAATCTCTAAAGGATCAATGGCAATCGTATCAGGTATGACTTTTCTTGCATTTCATTAGGTAAGCACACAATGATTAAAGAAGGAAAGGGTTAATCTTCGGATTATGGTAACTTGGCGACTTTTGGCGAAAATTTGGCGACCAACCCTGCTGCAGCAACCTGCTAGTTTTTTTTTTTTTTTTCTGGACGCCATTTTGTTTTCACGAAGAAAAGGCATTTTTTTTTTAACTCAACCTTTTTTTTCGACAATCTGCTAGCCGAATTACGCTTATGCTAGAACTTTTATGGAACAAAAGTGCTTAATCATGACGAAGATTAAGTGCGAAATTGGGAGAAAGTGCAGAATCTCCCACTGCTTGTCGCGTTTTTTAGAATTGCACATACACGGTATCCATGTACACGTCGACCTATTTTCACTTAAAAAAACATCCCAGAATTGCACAAAAATGGCATTGCGCACACTCTTGGCTTTATCCATGTACACTGCTAAAGTCCTAGCTAGTAACCTTTATCGCCTTACCAAAATGTCGCCAAACTACCTGTTACCATATTCCAAAGATTAGCCGAAGGAAAGATGAAACAAATGATTATTCAGCAAGTCCTAAAAGCAGTAATTCCTAGGACTTTTTATTTACTTTTGAGTCATTTTTGAAGAATCAATTCAAAGGGAAGGCGTTATTAAATGCAGGGTCCGCCAGAAAATTGTATACGTACTTCAGCAAATAGTATCTAGGTATAGGTTTCGAAGTTGAATTATGGCTTACAGTATTTAGTAAGACATATCGCTACTCTCATGACTGTAACATGTGACGTATGATAGTGATTCAAAATGACCTTGGAGGGGGAGTTGAAGGAAGCGCAGAAAATCTGTAGAGTTGGAGGTCTTTCAAGATATCACAGCTGCGTGAGCCACTGTCACCACAGACACACTGGTCAACGTTATTTAAGCAACTGCTCACCGTTGTGCTATGCTTCTGACCGCTAACAACCACCGCTCTGACACTTTGATTTTGATAACTGTACAAGTGCAGGTACAGGTACAAGAAGATTGAATTAAGCCTAACATAACCTACGTTATGTAGTATTAACTTGTAATTAAATTCGATACTAACACAGTAAGGATTAACAGTAAGGGATTTTCTTTCGTTAAAGTATGTACACATTTTTTTTTCTGATGAACTCTGTTATTTCTCTTTCCATTATTTGATGGAAAGAAATTAAAAACGTGTTTAATGTACTATGGTAATATATCTAATGTATCCGTATAAATATTTTCCGTTATCAAAGTATTAACAGGTCATTTTAGCAGAGCAAAATCCACAGCGATTATTTAGCTGAAGTGAAATTGGTTTCGTTTTTATGTTAAAAAATGAGGAAAATAATTCATGAATTAGCAAATTTTTCAACCGCGAGTCGACTCTAAAGCGACTGCAAAATTTCGATAGTATTATTTGTTTCCCTTTTTTCTTTTAACATAGTTCTTTTTATGAGTTCTCTTTCAGATTATTTTGAAACCGCATTACAAAACGTATACCGCATTATAAAATTAAAGACAGCTTGATTTTTAACATTGCATAGTTTTAAAAGCAGGCAGAGTTTAGGTTTCAAATTGAAATATACGGGAGAAAGGATTTCTAGATTCGTTGGGCTTGTTTTTAAACACTTTAGATGGTTCAATACAGGATTGCTAATAGTTTTATAAATATCGGTCTTATTGTCCAGAAATAAACAAAATAATGCATGGTATTCCTATGCTTGGCTAGGGTATGCGCAACGCCGCGTTTTTACTCGGATATAAAACCTTAAACTCAGGTTGGCTGAATTTAACACTAATCTAGCCTTCTCAGACCCCCGATCGAATTATTGCCTCGTTTCACATTCAGAACACTAAGTAATTCCACCAATGTAAAATACTTAAAATGAATCATTTGAACATCAGCTTGGAGTTATAGAGCTAAAACAATTAACTTCCGCTTCTTACGGCTGGACATGCAACATATGGCTTACCAGCGGCCGAGCGGTAAAGTCGCTGAACACTGGTAGTTCGGTCCGAGGTTCGAATCCCGCGAACGGGCTGACTGCATGGGTGATTTCGTAGTTTTTCCCCATGTGTAACGTGTATACGAGCCAGTTTCCCTTAGAAAGTCCTCCACGAAGGCATCCCTCCCCTTAGGCAGATAGCCCTCGAGGCTCTGCTATAATCACACACACATGCAACATACGCTCAAAATTATTTAAAACAAATGCTAAATTCAAAGTTTAACAAACTGACTCCGCTATTCCATAACCAACTTAATTTTCAATTACATACAAACTCTCCATTTGATAACAGCAATGCTAAAAGTAGACAGTTACAGAGGCGTTTCATTCCGATAAGCTGATGTTGCAAATCCTCTCTCCTAAATTCAAATTCGCGATCGCATTTAAAACTTCCTTTATATAGATATTCAGCTGAGTATACGAAGTAGTAAAACTGCAAGGAAGATTGGTACTATTCCGTTTTGAGGACCGTAAAAAATTGCAGCGAAAATGTATGCGCGAAAGCGCCAAATCTAGCAAGCGCGCCCATTTACCAGCACGCTAAACCTAGCGTACGCGCTGATTTCAAATAGCGTAAGTTTAGATAGTTCTATGTTTCTTAAGACGCCATTGAAATACTAGTTTAATTTTTAAATCCTTTTTTGATTTAATATCCTTTTTTGATATTCTATGTATTTAACAATTTGGAAATTGCCCATGACGAAAAGTCTGCAATAGAATTTTTGGGAAAGTGCAGAATCACCCACTGCTTGGCGCGTTTTTAAGAATTGCACATACTTGGTATCCATGTACACATCGACCTATTTTCACTTAAAAAAAATCACAGAATTGCACAAAAATGGCACTGCGCACACCCTTGTCTTTATCTATGTACACATCGATCTATTTTCACTTGAAAAGTAAAAGAAAATTGACAAAAATCCAATTGTTTTACTCTTGTAAAAAGCGCCAAAAGAAATAAGTGGGCGTTTCTGCACTTTACCGAGAATTTTTTCAAAGAAAAGACATCATTCATTATGGAAAATTATGTTTGAACAACCAACGAGATGAAATTATGCTTTAGCGATAACTCGGTAGCGAAATAGCGATGCAGAAATCCATTCAGTTATGTTTAACTTTTCTTTATATAAATTATAATAATGATCTGAAATAGGTATTTACTCTTATGCTTCCATTCAGTTATGTTTAGACTTTTTTATATAAATTATAATGATAAAAATGTATTTTATGAATTTAAACCTTTCATCTAAATTAAAACAATAACCTTTAAATAGTTATTTACTATTATACTTCCTTTCTTGCGTTAGGGTTGCCGCAATTATTTTTGGCAGCACTGGCATCAACAAAAGTTTGGCGGTTTTTTACGGTCCTTAAAACAGAATAGTACCGAAAGATTTAACGTATCGAATAACCTGTTAATTGAAATAAATCTTACAAACATCAAATTTTTTCATCATCAAATTTACAGGAAGGTTAAAAATAGAAGAAATTGAAGTTAAAGCACTTCTTCGATTAATATTACTGTTTTTTCTTCCGCAGAAAATAATCAACATTCGAAAAGAAAAACTTGAAGAGGCAGCAGGATTGCAAATTTTTAAGACAAGTGCCGAATCATTGGTAAGTAGCATTTCGCCAATAAACCGTGTTGCATTTTTATATTGGACTAAAACTGTAGTTTCCAGCAAATTCTTTTATTAAATTTACATATGGAAGTTTCTGTTTCAATGATATTCCTACTTTTACTTTCGACAGTACATCTTTTTTTTCTTTAACTCCTAGATATTCCATAAAGAGAACCAAAAACATAGAAACCTGACAACGTTTTCTTGGCTTAAAAATATGCTTTTTAGCGATTGCATTTATAAGTCTAAATTTAAACAGCTTAAACTCATTTCGTTCGGAAAATAATAGACATGTTTAATTCACCCCAAAAATGTCTAATTCTTACTAATCCCTTTGATCTGAAGCAGATCGGATTCATAAGTTCATTCGCCTTCATAACTTCCAACACAAAATTAGGTCTCTTCAGCAAATCTTTACGCACCAAGGTAAAAAACGAAGCAATTTATAGTAAAAAATGATTGAACTTAGTTCAACTACTTATTTATTGAGAAAATAATGTTAAATGCAGCATAAAATAAAAGTCTGCTTTTAAGTGACAATCGCAATTAAAATGAGGAAATATTCTCAAATCATATCCACGGAAAAGAATAATTCTTCACGTAACAAGTCATGAATAAGTTAAAATTTTAAGCATCTGAATCCTAGCAACCGAAAAGCATAAACATTTATTTATTGATTGATTTGATTTTTATAAAGGAGACGCAAGGAAAAATAAGTGACTTCTATCTGGAAATCTCGCCTCTTTAACAAAAAATTATGTCGAAGACAAATCTGGGAAACAAACGTTAAGGCGAATAATTAAACTTTAATTAAATTTGTTGCGTACACGTTCTTAACATCGCGTCAAATAAGTGAGGAAACGAGAGGAGAAATATTTATGGAAAACGCTGTTTAAAGAATTCTAAAGAAATGGAAATATCAGTATAAAATATTAAGCCTTTGCGGCACAGTGTGTCCGGTCTGGACACACCTAAAAATTTCCTTCTGTACGCACAGAAAAATTGAATGAAAAAGGATTTATAAGTCACTATAGGTTACTCTGAACCTTCTTTGTTTATAGTAGATGGCAGCTCAACACAAACCAGTCCATATATTTCAGCCATGTTTAGTTTTTTTAAGACCCTCATTTTTCAAAGAAATCTTCCAGATTTTTTTAGGGTATAAAAGGAATTGTTTGAAAAGAAATTTTTACGTTATTTTTTTGGCTGTAGGCTAATCTCCTTATTCTATATTAGTTTTAAATTTTTACCTTGAAATCTTGCTTAAAATCAAACGGCGAACCCTACGTGTGCCCAGACCGGGCTCGCCGATAATCTAGGACAACTGAGAGTCTGTATTCTTTTGTTTCTCCGCATCTCATCGGTCAGTCCATTGACAAAAATGCTCGTTTCAGCACTCTTTTCGAAGCTCTATTCAATCAGTGTGCTCACTTTGGGCACACCAACAGAATTAAAACGATAAGTGCTATCTTCACAAAATTTGACTTGCGTACTCCTCTAGGCCTAATTAGATTGCCTACCGTTTTTTTCCTCAAAACTCCAACTTTAAAAAGTAGCGTGCCAGAAAGAGTTAAAGAAACGTATGGCTTTTCCGTACGCTAATAAAAGACTCAATACATCGCTTTATATTGTCCAAAGCCCTTAAGTGAATTTAAAAAGTTATATAACAGCTCCTTAGAGCATTAGGTATTTAAATAAGAGTAAGCAGCGACTTTTCCATAATCCCAGCTTCTTCATTTTCTAATTATTTATTTTCGAATACGAACCATGTAGTTTTAACCTTAAGTTTTAATGACAGCTGTTTTAAGACCTAATAGCTTAATGTAAACTACACTCAGTGTCTCGGTAAATTATTGCAAGCGTATAACACTTATTACAAACAACTAATACTCATTTGTCACTATGTAGGATTTTATGAATCGAAATGTAAATTGCAAAGCAGTAGAAAAGTTGATAGTTTGTGGAATGAATTAAGAAACTGTCCAAAAAATCAGTCAATGATTAGTGTTCAAATTTCAAATCATATAAAAGCTAGATGTAACTAGTTAATGCAAGTCAAATTCAAGTTTCATTTGCCGTATTCTATGAATTCGTCATCAGAGAGAATGCAGTCAGGAAAAGTCCCCAAAGGTGAGCAAAGAGGAAATGCTCCTTATTAACTATATACCTGTTTCTGTTTAAAATTTGCATCACCAATCTAGCCTGCAGGGAATCTGGTTAGATTGAAAAGACACCATGAAATTTTAACACTTAGATTCTCGCCAATTAATTGAACCTGTTTTAAGTATATTTACAGAATTCAGGAGGGAAAAAATAGGCTTTAAATGCGTCATTTATATGCAAGTTAGCTTTACTTATAAATATTGCTTTTAAGTGCACTGTTTTTAAGTAAAGTGAGTGAAAAAGAATTCGATGTATAAAGGTAAGCAAAAACTAAACTTTGATGTTGATTTCATTGAAAAACTAATGCCGATATATATATGATTTATACGAGATTTCCCCTCGTATAAAATCGGTATTAGTTTTTCCAAGAAACCAATGTAAGCTTAAGGCTCTTTTTTGCAATATTTCATATTTGTTATTAGTCTGCTTCTTTTAAGCGTATTAAGAATTCAAAATATAAAAGAGAAAGTCATTATAGTAAAACCTCATATGTACAGTTGTCTTGTAGTATGTAGATATCGGCATTAAACGTTACGGATACGGCCTGCTTTAAAGCATACTAAATTTTAAAAGGAAAGGGGGTCAAAAGCTGATGTTTGCCTATTATACTTGAATTTTATTCAAAATATATCTGACATATATTATCTTCTTTAGCAGGTATCAGTAATTCTCTGTAATTTATGTCTAAGATTACTCGATACCTAGATTAGCTACCTCCTACAGCGATTATTTCACATCTAACTAAATATCTTTAAATCTTTTCAGTACAAAACTAAATTTATGACTTTTTTGTATATTTATACGATGTATATATTTATACGATATATATATTTATACGATGTATATATTTATACGATATATATATTTATACGATATATATATATTTATACGATGTATATATTTGTACTTTTATTTATGCGATGCAAATGTTTTTAACAATTTCCTCTTAGAATGAATGGTGTTGGGTAATACTTTAAATGCGTCTTATATCAATTAATAATTAAGATTCCGACAAAGGTCGAAGACCATACTATCCTGCTGATGTGTGTATCACTAAATACAGTATACGAAATATTCAAATATCAGTGGGAACTAAATCAGTAACCGAAATAGCTCAATAAGTAACCGATATAAACCTGAAGGCAACTATGATAACTGAATCAGTACAGGCATCACAAATGATTTGGTTATGGAATTAGATTTAACTAGTAGTAACCTTACGATTTTCATACGAATCGAATAAGCGAGCGCGTGAAAGTCGCTAGCGTATGAACTGCATGGAAATAAGAGTGAGAGAATTGAAAAATACAGAATAAATCCCCTGTATATACATTTTTTAGAGCTGTAGATACATTTGAGACTTTGCGATAAAATTAAATTAAGATTAAACGAAAAAATAATAATAAATAAATAATATTAAATGAAGATTAAATGATGATTGATCAATTGTTTGATTCTTTAATTTTACAACATAACTTAAATTTAGAATAGCAATGAACAGTAAATTAACAAAATAAATCAGCCCATGAAATCAATCAAAAACTTTACTATGCACAATATTTCGGATAAAAACAGAGTAACCTTACGATAAAACCTTACGATGTTTTAACCTTTCGGATAAAAACAGAGTAACATTGCTAAACATAGATCAGCTGAGTTAGCCCACACCATATAATATTTTTCTCTTTCTCTTTTCTAATATAAGATGTTTCAGGTACACAGATGCTAGAAATAATACCTACCGCAATCAAACAAGAATGTTTATAACATTTATATTAGTTGCATGTTTGCAAAGTTACAATGTTTCTCGAAATTCCTATTTGTGTTTTTGCACACTTGAATTTGGTCCCATGTTGGTATATTCATCGCTCACATTCCTACTGTCCTTTATTAAGAATATACTCTGGTCATACACTAACACCCATATTTTATTCTCCTTCTAAGCGAACTAAAATTCATTTCAGAAAGAGAGAAGAGTAAAAAGCAAATTCAAAATTTTAAAGCGTAAGCGTAAATAAAATAAAAGCTAATTTTACGAGATGCGAAACAAAACAGTAGTTGGTCAAATAACGTTTTTTGAGAGCTAGTCAAGTATTATGTTAGTTTTTACATATTTCTAATACTACATTCCCGTGAGTATAAGAATTGGCTGTTAACTGAAATCCATATCATATGCTCAGTTGTAAAGTCAAGACGTTCAACAAGTTCAAGAGGGAAATGGGAAATGAATTTGAAAAATTAGCAATCATACGTCTTGTAGGCTACAAGATTTGGGTTGGGTCCAGGATAAAATCATATTTTAATAGATGTAGCAGGCTAAAGTTCAAAACTTTGCTGAACAGACCAGCCCCATTGTTAATTCTATGAAAGCGCGTGGACATACTCCTTCTAAATTAAATGTAATGAGTGTAAAGGCATCTAAATCAACATTTATTACAGATAGAAATTATTTATGATAGCTCAATATTAAAAGCTTTAATATGCAGGGACAGAGGGCTGGGATAAATTTCCACGAGAAGACTTTTTAATGTTTATTACAGAGTCAGTAAAATGCAAACGGTAGGCTATATCATTTATGTATTTTATAGCAGCAATAATCAAGAAAAGCTTAATCAATTACCAAGAATGTTAAAAAGTTCAGAGTAACTTGTTTTGAGAATTTCATGTTACTTGATAGTTTACCAGATGTCTTCTATTTCTTGTAGCGAAAAGCAGCCATTTCACTCGACGCATGATAAATAAAATGAGATAAAATACTGAAAATATCCATCCCATCTGGTAAAACAACTTCAAGTCGAACACTAATCTCGAACTATAAAGATCCAACTAAAA